AAAACCTCTTCCAACAAAAAATTTAGTCAACCATCCGATCGACTAATGCGTGAAACTGGAAAATAAAATGTTTTTGACATTTATAAAAAAAAAATTGAGACAGTGGCTTCTTGAAGAGGAGAATATTCGGTAGCTAATTGCAAAAAATATAATTCGTCAATGGCTGATTGGAGAATAAAAAAATCGTTGGCTACCAAAAATATTGAAGGTATTCTTTCAAAATTTAAACGGTTAATTAATACCTTAATTTAGAAAACCCCTTATCTAATAAAATAGAATCATTGAACAAGGAAATGGTACAACTTGAATTTATTATGAGACAAATTTTTGAAAACGGTAAGATCTAATAACCCATATAATAATTACTATTGTACAAAAGAAAAATAAATAATTTTATTATTTTTTATCCAATATGATGTGAATTACTTTATGATAGGATTAAAAATATGGCATAGATGGAATGAGACATGTGAGAATTGCATTCTGTATCTTAAAAAACACAGAAATTTTAATTTATACATTCAAAAAATAATTTTTTCATATTACACTTGTAATAACATAAAACAGTTATAATGGGATCCTCAAGTTAATTTCCATTAATATTTTGAGAAAATCTCATTTTACCCCTAAAAAGATACAAAAAATTTTAGATTGCCTCCTAAATGATAAATTTTTTAAATTGTTCTCTCAAATAAATAAAAACATTGTAATGTGATCTAACAACGTAATTTCGCTTGGTCATCCATTTATTTTGTTTCAAATCAATCAATCAAAAATAAAAAAATAGACAAACAAATAAATAAAAATAAAATGATATACCATATTATAATATTTTTATTTCTTTAAGGGAGCAATATAAAACAAAATTAATTATTTAGATATCAAATTGAAAATTTTTATATTTTTTAGAGGGCAAAATAAAATTTATCCTAATATTTTTCATCAAATACACTAGCTTTGGAAATTAGTGATCCGGCTATATTATAATTATTTTAATAAAAAAAAAGAGAGAACGATAAGATTAAACCGAGTCTTACATGACAACAGCAGGGATAGTGATTCATCCCGATTGGATAGAAACGTTGACACGATCCACACACATCTCGAAGCAAAAGAGTGAAGCCATTTATCTACTCCTTCAATCCCCCCGTAAGAGAGAGAGAATATTCGTACCACACACCGTACGATTCCATTTCCTACACTACTGGTCCCACACAAGACCCTATCGTGGCATTATCTCAGTCGTACGTGAAAACCACAAGCCTTAACTCACAAGTTGGAAAAAAATTTACACCTAAAGAGCGGGTCAGTGTAGCTGGCCTTAAAGACAGCGAAAAGCCAACAAGATTTTCAAAACGGTCCATTTATTACCAAACCTAACCATACGCGGCGTTAGTAAGCGTCAATCATCACGCTCTTTCAGAAAGATTTCACAAGGATTACAATTGATAAAAAAAAAAAAAAAAAATATTCGTTCAAATTTATTCAGTTTGGATTAAGAATAGACTATATGTATCAGAAGATAGACATATACAAAAATATTTGTATAAGCATAAATACAGGAATAGACTGACTCTTACCCCCCCCGCCCCCGCCCCCGCCCCCATATACCCGTTACATATATAAAATTAGAGCCCTAAACTTACTCATCTATTCTCTATTAGCTTCCGTCTCTATAGCCTACGGACCCTCCACTAAACGTCTCTCTGATTATCTCGTTCCTAAGCTCTCTCTCTCTTTCCATCATCTCTCTCCAATCTCTATCATATTTCTCTCCATCGTCTCTCTCAGTCTCTCTCCATTATTGATTACAGGTCCTCCGGTCTCCACTAACTAGGTAAGTCGTTCTCTCTCTATTATTTTTCTTTGCATCGTTAGGGCTATGAGAACATCCTTATCAACTCCAGCTGTAAATCGTCTCTCTTAACTAGATAGCTAGGGTTTAGATTAGATTATTGCCCTTCATAGGATTAGAGCTTTGATTATCGTCTCTTTTTTTTTTAAGGAAAAGATAAACTTTATAAATTGAAATCAAATCTTATAAGAGTTAAATAGGATTTAAGCCTCAAATGGCTTTAATCCTTCAAAACAATACAAATGAACAAACTTCTTTTCCAAAAATTATTTTCCAAATCATAAAAAGAATCAATAAGAGCAGTTATTTCAGAAAATTAGAGTCTTCCTCCTCCTTAATACTAGCAACAATAACAGATCTTGAAGTTGCAACAATTTCCCTTCCACAGGCAAACCATCAATCGAAAAATCAGTGAATCTTCTAACTTTAACAGCAAAAAAAGCTAGAAAATCAGCTACCCCCATTAGCTCTGTATGCTAATCTACTCTGTTTTTCAATAGAAGACGATGATTATTGTGCATGTTTTGTGATTGTTACTTTTATTTTTCTAAAACATCTTAGTTTTCATATTGTTTTGCATAATATATGGTAGATGCTAAGCTTTGTCTTTTGCAGTAAGGATTAGATTGCCTGGTCAGAAGCAAATTAGAGAAAATGAGTGCCTGTTTATGATCAAACAGGTATGAAACTGTTATTTTGTAAGTACATAAATTAGTTTTATTTTTATATTTTTGCTAGGGATCTGATTTGAATCTTTTAAATTTTCTTATTTTGGTCTTCTTTATTTTGGATTATGTTGGCTTTGGTTTTGGTTTGGGCATGGGCGGGGGTCAGGGGACGGGGACGGGGGCGGAGGCAGAGATTAAAAATTTACCTGTAGACGGGAGATGGGGATAAACATTATATCCATTAATGTGAGTGGACCAGGGATGGACAAAGTTTTTTTAAGCGGATATCGGGATGGAGATTATACTCCCACCCCCACCCCTGCCCCCAACCCCCAACCCCCACTTTGGTCTACTGACATCCCTAAACTTAAACGATTTTGTGATTCTTCAATTCCCCCAACAAGAATATGTCAGTGAATGTAGTACAAGAAATTTGGAAAGAGAAGAGATTGTTTGTATTAAAGTCGAGATATTCCTATTTGATACTAATTAGATTCATTAGTTATTTGTATTAGTTGATTCATGATTGTATTAAATATGTTTGTTGTATTACTTGATCATATTGTATTTGAATTCGTATAGTGTCAACGAATGTATCGTGCAAAAAATTAACGACACTAAAAAAAATCTACACATTGATAATGAAAAAGAACCAATTAGATTAAATAGGCAAATGGAGTGTGATTCAGGGTAGATTAAGAAGTTAATTCACATATAAATCTTTTATATCACTCATTTAAATTGAACTAAAAAACCAAATTCAATTTCAACATTTTTAAATCATGTATTGTTTATGCTTTATTTTAGAAACTGGGTTGAAATTTATGAAGTACGGATACTTCGTCAAGATCGACGTACTCGTATCCGATACTGTATCGGATATAATACTCGTCGGATACTCGATGATACGTATCGGATACGCATCATCCGTATTCGATAATTAATAAAATATGTGGATACTTCGCGGATACTTCTAAACATGGTGTAAGATGTACAATTTTCAATTTTAAGCTATAACCCTTCTTTGGAGTTCACATACAATATAAAACATCAACAAAATTTCATCTGATTTTAAAAACACGAGTATTTTTTAAGTATTATCTATTATTATATGTTAAGAGGGTATAAAAAAAATGAATCACTTACACTATACTTTTAAAAATAAATACTTGTAAAACCAACTAGTTAAATGTTATTATAATTCCTTTAATTTGTCATGCTCATTTTATGAACAGATCATAATGAGATGACATTATAACCTTTTCATGGTAAAAATTTCTAATTTTACTTACTAATGTTAAAGAATTATTGAAAAATTGTAATTTCTAAGTCGTTAAATAATAATAAAATATAAAATATATTTTATTATAGACGTATCCTGGCCGTACCCGTATTTTAATTTTTTAAGTTTTACCATATCGCCGTATCCGTATTGTATCGTACCCGTGTCACGTATCCGTATCCGTGTTTCCTAGGTTGAAATTGATTGAAAATCGGGTTTAATCCTTTGGTTACACAATTTAAGTTGAGCCAAATTTTAATTCTCTGATTGTGTAACTCAGATTGAGAACTTGAGACCTTAATTATGATAAAGTCTAAATTTAGATGGACTGAGATTTATGTCCTCGACCATAATTCTCCCAACCCACTCACCCTTTGTTATAGTTGCCTAGTCATACAAATTCTTCCAATGACACGCGATGGCCACCGCACAACAATCACAGATGCGCCAGAAAAACATCACCCACCACCAAGCACCACCATCTATTGACCCCCACCAAATTTGAGATGAATTCACAAACATCATATCCCCCACGCAACACCATCACAAGTTCACAACCATCTCTACACATATAAACAACCAAACACAGCCCCAATTTACACACATTCCTTAAAAATTGGATCCCCCAAAACTCATAATTTTCAAATAGAAATGCAATTTTCATAAAACCCGAGGGGTGTTTTGCAATATTTGCAGAGAGAGAGAGAGAGAGAGAGGGGGGTTCCTTGATCTTATCTGAAAATAATGGGTGACGTCATTGTCCCAACATAGGAGAATCACTCTTGCGAATATTCAACCACTATCTCTCTCTACTTTCTCTCTCTATAAAACTCCACCACAGATTCGTCTGTACGCGACGCCCCGACTTTGACAATCAAAACACCCACTGATTTTTCCTAAGCAAAAAGAAAAAGAAAAAAAAAGAAAAATCAGACTCTCTCTCTCTACTTCTACAAATAATTTCTCTGCCTCGGTCTCTCTCTCTCTATATGTATATATATATATATATATATTTTTTTTTTTTTCTTGTCTGCCAAGTTTATTCCTTTTCGTGATTCTACTTAGATCCGTTATTCTATCTCCAGTCCGGATCTCTCAATGCTGAGACAAAACCTCTTCAATTTAATCTCTTGTTCCTCCTCCCTTGAAAAAGTTCTCGGTGTTTTCAATCACTGAAGAGAGAGAAACAACAACCATGTTGATCAACAACGATAATAACAGTGATTATGCAGAGAAAATGCAGAGATGTCGAGAGTATATTGACGCTTTAGAAGAAGAAAAACGGAAGATTGAGGTGTTCCAACGCGAGCTTCCTCTTTGTCTAGACCTTGTAACTCAAGGTAAATATAAAGATTTCTACATAAGTACCCATTTCGATTTTTTGGTAATTTCTTTTTATAGATTATGTTTATTTTGATTCTTTTGATGGGTTTTGATTTTGGGGTTTTGGGGGATTTTCAGCGATTGAAGCATGTAAGCAACAGTTGTCTGGGACCACTGAGTACTTTCATGGCCAGTCTGAATGTTCTGAGCAGACATCAAGTGAAGGTCCTGTTATGGAGGAATTCATTCCTATGAGAAGGCCTTCATCTTCTGATGATGATGAGCAAATATCAAAGAAATCGAAGAACAACAGCTGTGAAAATCATAACAACAGAGATAGCAAAAACAATGACAAATCATCCAAGAAATCAGACTGGCTTAGATCTGTTCAGTTGTGGAATCAAACCCCAGATCCACCCACCAAAGAGGTACTTCACAAATTTATCTCATATAATTAGTCTAATAATGTAGACAGCGTTTTGACGAAACATGATTCATGTAGCTGATCAAAATAGTTGGAACAAGACTTTATTACGGACAATCTAGTTGGTTTTAGGGGTTCTATTTTTGGGTTTTAGCTAATTTGGTTAAGGTTCGAATAATGGAAACAGTCTCACTGAATATGGGTAAGGCTGGGTACATCTAATTGCCACAGAACCCGCAATAACGGGAGCCTCATGCACTAATTATGCCTTTTAATTAATTTGATTAAGGATTGGAAAATTTTGTGGTGCAGGAATCACCAAGAAAGGTATCAGTGGTGGAGGTGAAAAGAAATGGTACTGGTGGTGCTTTTCATCCTTTTAAGAGAGAGAGAAATGTGGGGACTACACCACCATCAAAGGGTATGACACCTTCTTCAGCAGCACCAGCGGCCGCTGCTAGCTCCACCGCAGAAACTGGTGGCAGTAGTGGTGGTGGTGGTGGTGGTGGCTGTGAAGGTAAGACAAATGATAAGGAAGGACAGTCTCAGAGGAAGGCGAGGAGGTGTTGGTCACCGGAGTTGCATAAGAGATTCTTGCAAGCCCTTCAACAGCTTGGTGGTTCTCATGGTTTGTATCCAATGGAACTCCTGATTGTATTGAAGTTATATAATTTGTGTTCAAATGTAAATTGATCTGAAATGAATTGAATTTGTATTGGAATTTTCTTCTGATTGTAAATTATGCAGTTGGTACGCCTAAGCAAATTAGGGAGTTGATGAAGGTTGATGGCCTTACTAATGATGAAGTTAAAAGCCATTTACAGGTTTATATGCTTGGTTCTCTTCCTTTTTAATCATTCACCTCAATATTGCTTGTTCACACACTGTCACGCGAGAGACTCGTGCATTAGGCCACTATTGTTGTTCAATGTTACTTCTGCATTGATTTCGTAGGATTTCACTTCAAGTAGCAAAATTATACCTGAATGTGTCTTCATCTGTTAGGTATACATCTTGATTATGGATCCAAAGTTGAAAATAGTGGTTGTTGTTTGCTTGTTAGTATGGGCATTTCCATCTATGGATAAGTATTTCTTTAACACATATTTGGATGAAAAAGCATACCAAACATCTAGAGGAATCAACAAACCTTTTCTTACATTTGGTAATTCGATTGATTGATCGTATAGCTTCAGCCTAGCTGCATAGACCTTGTTACTTAACATGTACTCATCCAAGATGTTCTTTGGTTATATATTGAATATGAGATTACAATATCAATTTTTCTATCCCCCAATCTATATTATTGGCTTATTGGTGAATTTTTCTTTTTCAAAATTGACCTGAGATCAAGCATGGCCTGAGAGTTTCCTTTCGTTTTTACAGAAGTATCGTTTGCACACGAGAAGGCCTAATCATTCAATTCAAAGCAACAACAATACTCAACCACCCCAATTTGTAGTGGTGGGTGGTATATGGGTGCCACCAGCAGAATATGCTGCAATGGCAACATCAGGGGAAGCATCAGGGGCTGCCACTTCTAATGGAATCTATGCACCAATTGCTGCACTACCACCACCCTTCCAAGGTGCTTCGACCTCTCTAAATCAAAGACAACAACATAAGCAACAGCATTCTGATGATAGAGGCAGCCATAGCGAGGGCGGTGTTCATTCCAATTCCACAGCTACCTCCTCTTCCACACATACCACCACAGCTTCGCCTGCATAGTGATGATTTCCATGAAGATCGATGTAGAAATTTTGTAACGAAACCTGCTGTAATCTTTCGAGAAAATAATAGAGGTGATTTTCTGTTTTTCTCTACCTGAATTTTACCATTACATGTTTGTTTTGTAATATTTATGTTATCTTTGCACCATATGACAGTGACAGTAGATATGAAAATTGAATAAGTTTAATTTTAGCTTCACATCCTACCTTGCTGGACATCAGAATAAGAAATCAAAATCAAACATTTGATTTTGGCTGAAATTATTAATTTTTTAGTATTTTATGGATTGTCAAAGACTTATTATTTTCAATCATACCCTCAATCCTGAATTGTATTCTTTGTCATTGCATTTGTTTAGCATCAACAACCGGGCGAGTATGAAGAGACAAAACAATTATATTCTGTCCAGAGATCCTGCAATGGTGCAAGTCTCGTGCGTTGAGTACGCCCTTTTATGTTATGCCCAAATGAACACTTTTATCAATTTGAGAAAACTAGTCAATATAACATTGATTGAGAAAGTTTTTTCTTCAGATTCACATTGGCAGCCATGGACATGGTCCCTGAGGCTTGAACATGAAGTTTCTATCTTTTGCAATACATTGGTGTTTTTATACTACATCTCATTAAATATTTGCTGGAATATGCAAGAGAAGACTACTTGTTTTGCCCTTTGCCAGGTTGATCCAGAAAGGAGGTGGCAAGAAGTCTTTCATACCTCTAGAAAGTTTACATTTCTCCATCCAAATCCTGTGAATTCAATTTTTTTTTATTTTCGATTTTGATCGAGTTTAATCATTCATCGGTAAATTTATCGAGCCCCAATGGGTTTTTTAAAGTCTACAAACAACAAGTGAGGCCCTCCATAGATTAAACTTGATCCAAAATGATATGATTTGCAATTAAGAATATCGAAAATCATACATTAACCCTCTAAAATAATTAGATACTGAATGCAATGCACCATATCCTTATTCCATCAATGCAAAACCATAGATAGTATTAGCTTTTATGAACAATTTTCAGCTAATATGGTTCACCTTGTGGGATCCACACCCACTTCACAAGAACATTTCATATTATAGAGTGTAGATTCATCCTCCAATTAGAACATGATAATCTTAACCGTTCAAATTGTCTTAATTAAGTAGATAAGATTACTCATCATATCACAAAGTTCAGATCTGATGAAGAGCTTGTAGTTGTCCTTTACCCAGAAAGTTTGGTTGCCAAAACAACAGTTTTCACCCCCAAACAGCTAAAGAACACCGTATGTACTAAAAATTATAATTTTTTTGAAGTATTAAGTTTTAATTTTTAAAGTGTATGATCGATCACGGGAGATTACGATGGATACCAAAATTATAACTTCTAAATATTAGATTAAAATTTTTAAAGATTAACTCTGAACTCATAAACAAGAAATTACAATTAATCAAGGGAAACCATGATTGATAATGGGAATTTATGATCGTTTCCTTGAATAATTATAACTTTTTTTTTTCAAACATTTAACTTTATTATAAAAAAGTTGTAATGAGCGATTCCTATAACCTAATGTTTCGTCCTCATTTATGTACTTACGCCAAACAAATACCTTAGTTGTACAATTTGTACTATTTGAAACATTACGGAAGTTTCATTACCTTAGTACAATTTGTACCGGTGGTATTGTATGAAACAATGGGTCCTTTTGGTTGGCGATTTAAAAATGGATAGATTAGATAAAATAATTCGGTCTAATACAATACAGAAGAATAAAAGACAAGACTAAATATGGTATTAGAATAATACGTAAATTTTATCTAGTGTTTGATAATACACAACATAAACATTGGATAGTAATTATTTAATCCAATCGGTTGTTTGGTTAAGAAATTATTTTATCGTATTAATGTTGAATTAATAAAAATATCATCAATCAGTGTTTGTTACATTGATGACAGTTTGATTTTATCAGTTAGAAGGTTATAATGGTAAATGTGCAAAATAATACGTTTGAGTTGGATTATAATATTACCTCTTTTGGTGGTATTAAAATACCTCCATAATACAGGTCTAACGTATAAAAAATATACGATAAATATACAATCAGTTTACATTTTTGAAATTAATACGGTATCAAATTTACTTACCAAACAAAGTATTAGGCCCGATTAAATAAAAAATAATACAATTCAATATTTAATCTCCTCATAATACATCTACCAAACGAGTCCAATATGTACACAGCCCGTAAGTTGAGTGATCAACTAAGTTAAGGCCAAACGAAATAAACCCAAGAGGAATGTTATTGTACTTAAAAATTTAATTTAATGCACTGTGACCTTTAGATTAACGGTAAGTTTCATCAAACATTAGAATTTAGTGTTGATCCAATGATTCTTATTAAACCACACCATTATGTCAGATTTTTAAATCTAAATAACATTACTCTAAATCCAAAATTCATGTATTAATTCGATTAATTTAGCGGAGAAAATTGTCCAAATCTTTTCCAATTCATATTTGTAACACTCTACATAATATTGACAAATCTCGGCACGGTCAATTTAGTCTTGACGTATAAATAGACTTATCCTTCAAATCCGTCATTTAATAAACGAATTAATCCGGTTTGACATAACACAAATCAAACTAAACATAATTTATACACGGGCAACGGGGCACTTGAAAATTAACCATGTTAGTTGAGGGATCCACTTGTGGGACCGACAAATGGGAACCGATCATTCAACTAAATCAATGGGGCCGGGGAATAACATCAATTGATGCCAACAATCAAACATAAAAGACAAATATATTTTGTGATTACAAACGCGACCCAATGGGCCCTCATCCGAATATTCGTGGCATATGAGGGATAATCATGAGGATATTAAACAAATGTGGATGTGGGTTATCATTTCATTGGTCAAGTATATTCTCCATTAGTTTAATTTATCTTCTAGGTAAAGGATATAGAAGAACGATATTCTTACCGTCGAATCTCGCCACTTCCAAGATTCCATATATAGCATTTGACTTGTAATTTTGTTTTTGGTGCATGGATCATACTGTTTTATCGTTTTCATTTCGATAAATAATGTTATCACCCGTAATTATTTGTTGTATAATTGACATGATAGTCCTTTGATATTTGAAAAATAATGCAAAAATCACATACCAAAATAGTTGCTATCTAGGAAAAATGTGAGAGGGAGAGAGATGAAATGGGCTAGTCAATAATTTGTGTGAGCGTTTATTGTCAATCAAGTGTGATTCATGTGATAATCAAGCAATTTGAGGGAGGAGTGAAGGGATTTAGATGAGTCGAGATAACGGTGGAGATTGAACAGGATTTGGCATTTTGAGATCGTGAACTTTGGTGCGTTGAGGGAGATGGGGTTTGATAAGTGAACCAAGTAGAGAGTCAATGGGGAGAAAGAGGGAGAGAGGGGGAAAGGGAAAGAGAATAAAAATGCCCATGGATAAAATTATAATTTTAACAAAATGCTTGAGGGTAAAATTATCAATCAATTTTTTTTTTCCTATCTGGAGTACAATGTAATTTTAGAAATAAGGAGACTATATTTAAAATTAAATAGAACACTAGGGATGTTAGTGTGATTATTTCTTCACAAAACATAGACTTTAAGTTTAAGAATTGGACAAGACATGAGGAGTATTTTGTTTTTCAATCCAAGATAGATCAACAAGAGATAAACATGGAAGGTGGAGGAGGAGAGAGAGAGAGATTCTACGTCCCTTCAATGAATCTAAGGCCAAATATCTCTTGTGGCTTCTAAAAACTGAACCCAATTAATTGTAAGAGTCCTAAAAATCTTCTTTGTAACGTTTTGTTTGGTGACATAAAGTCAAATTTGGGACCTTTCCCGTACTTGGGCACCAAGTTGCATGCCCTAAACCTTATCTTTTGGATCATTATTTTATATTTTTATTTTGTTCAATAGTCAGAAATATTTGAACTAAGTCTTTTGGTTGCGTTTGTGGCCGAATTAGGACAATCATTTGGACATTTGCAAATGAAAATCTCAAGAAGCAACTAAAACAAAAAATAAAATAAAAAATAAAAAAATTAATAAACTCTACTATCTATTCAATAGTCATAAATTATTGAGGTTCCAGCAATTAAATCTCAAATTAGATGTAATTAATATTATTGTTAACTTTTATACATGTTTTAGACATGTCTAAATATTTTTTTAAACATATTAAGGTTTTTTTATGATTTTTTTTTTAAATTGTAGGGTTATTTTGTTATTGTATAAAAATATGTGTTGTTATGTAATAAATTATAGGATAATGAATGGAAGATTGTTACCACAATTTTATATATAAAAGAAATATTTGTTGATAAAATTAATTTGTAACTCTTTCAAATAATAAAAACATATCAGGATCAATTGTAAATGATAATAATTAGTCGTATTCTTGATAAAAAAAATTTAATTATTATTTTTTTTGTTCATGTTATGTATATAAGTTTTTAATTTTCTATGTTTACTGAACTTTTAAGTATTAAATATAATTTCAATAAATATGAATTCATGAATTTTTACGGTCAATTGAAAAACAAAATTAAAACGTGTTAAGGTGCACACCTTAAATTTTTTTTCTAGGGTTCGCCCAAGTGTAATAGCACTGAAAGACAACTGAATTTTAAATGTTGAATGGTGAATTTTTAATTTACGGAATGTTTGATATTCATTGAAATTTAAGTATTTAATTAAATCAAACTATTTAATAACTACACAAAACTGAAGTCTGAAAATAGATTAATTTATAATTTTACCCTTCCACTCTTTACTTTAAAAATATTTATAAAATATTTATTTATCTAATAAAAAATTACGACATATCACTACAAGTAATTTATAACATTAATCATAATCATTATTATTATATTGTAATCTCATTGACACTTAAATCTGATCAATAAATAAATAAATTATTAACCAAACAAAGCAAGAATATAATAATAATAAATTGAATAACAAAATAATCAAACAATAAAAAATATTGCAAATTTTGAACAAATTAAAAATAGAATAACAAAAAATTTATAAAATATTTATGGGAGCCATAATTTAATCATTGTGTGCACAGTATGTGTTTGTAAATCTGTGTGCTTGTGTGTAATTTATGTGGGTGTATATGTGTCATTCCATGTGTGCGAAGTGTGTGTATGTGTTTGTGTTTGCATGTGATTCTATGTGTGGTTGCGTGCGCAGTGTGTGTTTGCAAGTGATGCACTTTCTTGACTTATCGATGCCTAACAACCATTTGTTGAGTTAATTATCTTATCATGACTGCATCATGATAAGATAAGTAGACCCGTCAAAACACCACTGACCTTCACCAGCAGAACTACTTAGCCCAGCCTCTGGCACTGAACTGCTGCAGATATTTACAAACCAACTAAATATAGATACATATTTTACTACCTTTACATACAAGGTCAAAGAACCTGATAAGGGGCATGCCCAAACCAGTCACTTTAACTGAAGTTTTAGCAGACAGCCTTGTTACATTCTGTATCAATGTCTATCGTTCTAGGAAAAAAATAATGATTATTCGGTATGGAGTATTGTTTTGTTGTTACAACACGCTGAGAGCAGTGACCGTCCCCTTGTGTTTGGGGGAGTTGGACGGCCATTCGGCTCTTCGGGACTGTATTTCTTTTTTTCTCGTTAAAGACAACAGAAAAAAACTGTTAGGAATTTAGACTCTACGCGTACCTAAACACTCATGCCTGCAGTTGTTCCACCGTCATATTAAGATATCCATATTGAGCAACAACATATTTTTCCAATTGCATATTCTATAACTGTCTGATAATCACAATAAGGTGAACGTGGTGGAGCAATATTCAAAAGCATTGGATCACAGTTCCAAAGGACAAATATATGAATCAAATGTTATGGAAGAATAGGTTAATCCAGCCCTAACTGTTTTGTTAGGCATTTGGCAATCCTATTTTAGTTCTAACCAACAGACTGTTAACTATAGATCGGTGCAAGTGCAACCCTATCGTATGTCAGCAAACAGGGTAGGATAAGCTAAGCATGCACTCTAGTTAACTAAGCAATTCTGCAACTGTCTAGAGACAACTCTGCAGCATTCTAGTAAACAAATTTACAATAACCCCTTCCTTGGATATGTTCCTGCAACAAGCAATGGATTCTTTGAAATGGAAAAGAGACACCGTTGTAGTTGTAGTTACACTCTCAGAAACGCTTAGCTATGCTGCTACTGTTAGCTAATATTGAAATACAAGGAATATATTTCAATTTGTACAGAATTTTAAGAGTAAAAGTTGTTTGAAATCCAGATAAACTATGTTCTATGGATAATTTCCAGGGGGTGAAATTTCTAGTGGTATACCAGGGGTTGGCTCTAGTACTGCTGCATTCGGTAGTTCCTTTGACACGAGCTCCTGCATTACAAACCAACAAAGCCTCATCTAGTTGTCCCAGATACAATTTCAGGAGGAAGCTAACATATATAACAAGACATTGTGATAACAAAACACATATAGTTGCACAAGTATTACCAGGAGAAATAGGTTTTAAGGAACCAAGTCAGCAAGTCGAAGCTCCAGGACAAATAAAGGAATATAGATTACATATGGCATACAAACAGAGGAGTTTGTACACTTTTTTTTGTTCAACTCATGAGTAGATATAGAGCACTCCTTAAACTTGGGAGTAATTACCTAGTATTCTTGTAACATGCAGCCCTGGTATGATTGTTCAGTATGTCACTAAATGGACCATCTAGCAGGAAGCAGCTAATTCTAACTAAGGCATTCATCAGCTCTATAAACATTATAGAAAACTCCCGCCCAAAAATTAAATGTAAGTTTTTTTTTTATGCTCTGCGAAAAATAAATTTGCACCCTTCAACTTCACTTCCACGGGATCAAATCACTGAAGAAATCCCAATCCCTGATATGGAAATATGAAGGATATAGCATGTAAATAGCACACATTTATTCTGTGATCTGAATGGGAAATCCACCACACTGTTGGCTTCCTTATGAATGTGCTTGAATCCAAACCAACTGCAGAAGCACTCATGGCCAACTACATTCTGGAGTCTGGACTATAAGCACATTGTCCAAACCACACAAGAATCTCTGTAATTGCGTAACGTAACCTCTATCTGAACTCCTTTACATCTCAGGTGATAAATCTGAACTCCTTCCACAAAGTTTTCAGCCTTGTTATGTATTTTCAGAATAATTTATCCATTCTTTTCCTTGCTTAACATACTGCAATATCAAATTTTATCACCCATGTTTATTAAGAGGATTTCATCATGTATGTTTCGAACTCTCCAACAGAACCTGAAGTTGAAACCTATGTACTATACCTTATACATCCTTTACCCTATATTCATCGGCATGAATGTTAAACTGAGTCTATATTGTATTCAAGTGGTGGCTTTAACTGTATCTGCCAGAGAATTAACACGTTAAAAAAAAATCTATTTTCAGCCTTTGCTATTGTAAGAGTCATCTTATATCCTCTAGCAACAAAATCCCCCTTGGCTCTTCATATCTACTTTGACTAGCCAAATTGTGAAATTAAGTCAACTAGTTATGAATATCTTGATGACATTGCCACAAAATTCTCCAATTCTATCAAGGCCCACAAATGTCAAATTGATTGAATACTGAACAGGCAACCATTGTGTCAACAGATTTCCCTAAGAAAACTGATTCTTTACTAGAAGCAACATAAAATTACTGATTCTAGGGGTTCATAAGTAACAGCAATTGTACCTTGAATGACTCTACTGTTCCCCCAGACTGAATTAAACTCGCAAGAAGCCCTTTGCTATCAAGGTCACCATTTTTCATGGGCACAATAAACCTATAAACGAGGTAGAGGTCAATCACCTTCAATGTTTCGCTCAAAATAATATATAAACTTAGCGGCTAAGAACAAGGTTATGGCTGCATACTTGGCAGAAAGGAGCTTTGCTAGTTGCACTGCATCTTCTTGTCCTGAAACCAATGTAAATTTGGGCAAAAGCTGCTTTATAACAGGTGTGATGACAATGTCAGCCTGTTCCTTCTCCAGAAAGCGCTTGTTGTAGACACAGTGCGGTTCGTAGTAAAGAGTCAGCTGGCCTTGTGGAGAAGTAACAAGATACCTGGAGCATACGACTAGTTAAAGTAAACAAGTATAACGTACCATTCATGAAAAATGGAGTCAGCCAGAGGACAGTGTTCATAACACAGGAAAATCTACCCATTCTCAGGCCTCTGCCAAGGAGGACCCAGAATTGGCCCTGCAGTAGCACAAACTTTAACTTGAAAACCATTGCTCGCTTCAACTACTGAGCTTTGACCAGGTTCTAAATATTCAACCTAAATATATGTGAAAGTAATGTGAGAATCCCTTTACTGTATCACAATATATTAACAGAAAAAAGTGAAATATTAAGTTTAAGCACAGTTTCCTGTACTATTTTGCTCCAAAGAAACCACAAGGACAATGAATTGGAGTAATAATAACAGCAAATACTCTACGAAGTATATGGAATGAAAACTTCATAAGTATTTCTATGCTGAGTGAGGGGAGCAGATGGCAACATTACTCTATCTTATACTCGCCTAGGATGCTAAGCCAATATATGGAACTTAAAAGCTGTTCAAATTGAAACAAAGTTTATCCAAAGGTTCTGGATTTAAGGTTGAAAGAGACCCAATAAAAAAACAAACTGCATGCTTTTTCGAGTCCATTCCTTGCATCCTGTATCCACACTAACATACACAAAAATAGAGAATGAAAAAGAAAATTATAAAAAACATTCGCTGAATGAAAGAAAAAAGAATTAAGAAATATGGCAGAGCCACTTCAGGGAAATGCAAACACAGAAATTTGTTCTTCCTTTCCTGATGTCCAAACTGATAAGTAAGGGCGGCCATCGAATGATTCTTTATCAAACCAGAAGGGTAAATTCTAATGTCTAATCTTTAAGTTAAAGTGAAAAATCTACAGGCATACTTCTAATGTCTTGGGAGAATCAGTAAAGGGTAGTTTATCCCCAGTAACAACCTTTGACTTCTTTGTGGAATCTTTCCCTGTCACGTTTGATTATTTTTTATAGTTATCACTCACAGTTACCAGAATTCACTAAACTGCTAACGACCCACGATCTAGGTACATCGATCCCGAATGACGTGGGTTCGCGATCTAGATCACCAAAATGTGCGATCCTAAATTGTACACACAGTACAAATATAAAATACATATAATTTAACTACGTGTATATAGATTTATAATTATATATTGTTTTAGATAATAGAAAATCAAGCACAAATGTAAGATAAATGGTAATTGACTTAGTGTTTATGAATGTTCTATGATATAAAATTTTGTAAAGTAGTGAAAACGATCTCGATAAGAGTTCTAAGACGAATTACAACCTAAAATACCGTAGTAGCTAATCATACCGCGTACCTAAGAAAGTGTTGTACTGCGTACCCGTACCCATATCACGTACCAAAGCGACCCGCGATCCAAGTAATATTAGACTTATAACATTGCATCAGGCAGTGCTAAAGATTGTATTCCTAACGCTGTGGATCTCGAAAGAACCAATAGAAAATTCTTTCTATATCATTTATAAGTGTAGATCAAAGCTCTTTTATCGAAAACAATCAATATCCAAAATTTTATAGACCAAATTTTCTACATAACTCGTCCCCTCCTATATTTATTTTCCAATTTTCATGTTGGAAATAGTAACAATGTATCTACATCATTTCAATGACAGAAATATAATTTGACATATAATCTATATGACAGCCACACTCACAAAAACAGAGGATATGAAATAAATCGGCATATAACTTACTTTGCTGAAAAGAGGATCCAACAGTGCCTTAGCATTGGGAGTTGCTATAACTCTAAGATTTGGTAACTTCTGGGAAAGTGGCTTTAAGGTCTTTAAATGACAGTGATCATCAAGGCTTTGCGTAATAAGCAAGCAGTTAATTTCAGGTAGATCACTTAACTGCACTAGAAGTACATAACATGTAAAATGTTCACTAATCCAATTAAAAAAGAACAAAATGGAAATATAAAACTAAACAACTAGTCCATTGCTGTATAATGAGAAATGCAGTTACAGCTGTAGAAAAGTACCTGGAAATTCTTCAATGTCTTCTTTGCAGCATCATATAGCCAGGGGATTCCAAAATCCAAGTTACCCACCAAAATTGGATCAACCAGAATTTTCAATCCACCCACTTCCCACAACCAACTATTGCCCTAAACAGAAAATTCAACATATAATGATCAAAATTTTACAAAAAATTAACAAACAACTAGACAAAACCAAGTCCCAACTATTTGCGATCTGTTGCAAGAAACCTGTAATACCATTGTGATGTGTCCTGACAGTATATTCCGTTCAATCATAACATAACCATATTTTTCTTGTACTATTATAGGCAACATTAAGATCTACCTCTACCCTTAAATAACATCTCCAAATTTCCCTTTACTTATTCTCACTGGGACAGTTAATAAGTCCTCTCCAAACCACCTTAGTTAATTCTTGCTTATAGCATTGTTTCCACATACCAACAGGCATTTGGTCCAATGGTATACCTTACCGCTATGGCTTCTTCTTGAGGTCAAGGTTAAAGTCCCCCTCCCGTCTCCTCTCCCACCCAAAAAAAAAAAAAAATTTATAGTATTGTCTCCACAATTTGACAAATATATTAATTCCAAGTTCTATCATACCGTCCTCATTTCAAGCAAGGTTAGTTTTTGAACATTTTTGTGTATTGCCTAAAATTCTTATAAACTTCATAGAGTGCAATGAAACACAAAAACCCACCTCCAAGTAAGTGAGTTTGAACACATCAATGCCAGAATAACCGGACTCCACCGCATTTTCTTCAGAAACCACAGCAGAAACAACCCTACCCAACCTGTAATTGTGTGCCACACACCATACTATAATATAGATCATGATTTATATTACACCATATATACATATATACAAATTTGTTAATGTACAAATTGATTAGGAAGAGTAATATACCTGAGTTTTGAGAGCTTCATTGCATTGGACTTGATGAAAAGTGGGCATTTCTGAGTTGAGCTGAAATGGGTAATTGAAAATGAGGCCATGGACTTGGTTGTACAGGGTTTGTAGGTGAAATACGAAAGTGGATTGCACTGAACAACCATGGATGCTCAAGATTCAACCACACTGAGAATAGGTTCGTTTTCTTGTTTGTTTACAAAATTCTTGCTTCAGCGTTTACCAAATAAATCTCCGAAGTATTTAACTGCTTTTTGGTTGATCATGCAATCGAATGGCTTTGAGTTTGCCACTTGGCAAATGATGACTGACTTGTCAAAATGATATACACTTCCAAAATTTTTTTGAGTAATTTTCATTAAGAAAAATTTCAGTCACGCTACCTCTAATTTACTATATTTTCGAAGATAACCCTATTTTTTGAATCTTCATTAACCTCCCCTATTAGATTAATGGCATTAAGTAGAATGCGCTTTTACTAATTTGCTCATTATATATTTTAGAAAAAACTTTATTCACACCTCCTCTAAATTGACATATTTTCAATGAGAACCTCTTTATTTTCTAAATTTTTTTACATATTAAAATTTAGGCAGATTAAAATTCAATTCAAGCTAATTAAAATTTATTTTTTACGTATTATCGGCTCGAATCAAATTTTAATCAACTCACATTAAATTTTAATTTGACCAAATTTTGACACAAAAAAATATAAATTTTAATTGATTCAAATTTTAATACTAAAATAAATTTTAATCAGTTTGAATTGAATTTTAATACGTAAAAAAAATAAATTTTAATTGACTTGAATCTAATTTTAATTGACGCTAGCAGCTTAGATTGAGATCGAATCGACTCGAATTTCAATAAATAAAAAAATAAATTTTAATAGGCTCAAATTTTAATAAATAACAAATAAAATTTAATCAATTTTAATCAAATTTTAATCGGCTCAAATTTTAATATGTATAAAAATAAATTTTAATCGGCTTGAATTTTAATATGTAGAAAAATAAATTTTAATTGGCTTGAATTTTAATTAAATTTTATGTAGAAAGATTGTTTGGGTTTATGTAGGGATAATTTTGATATTTTAAATTTTTTTTGTTAAAAACGGTGGTTTAACTGCATAGAGTGCTAGTGATGTTTACATATAAACTTGAAGGGATGTCAATGATATTTTTAATAATGGAGGGTCCCATTTATGTCTATCTAAAAAGGAATTAGATGATAATTTCCTTTAATTATGTCCAGCATATTTTTTTCTATCAATTATTATAAATTCATGCCTGAACAATTATCAATATGTGGACATTTTCAGACTTGCCTACATAAATTTTGGACATATTGAGGATATGTCATAGATTTTCTAAAAAATAATAAATATTATTAACAATTGTATCAATATTAATGTTACGAGACGTTTGACATCTATACAACCCTCCGATGATTATACTATCCTCAAGTGAAGCGTGAATCATCTTTATTAGAGATTTTATAGTTGATAACAACATTACAAAACTGTGTAATGCTTGGTATTCTTTGAAAATTATTTTCCAAACATAATAGAGATGGATGAACTTACTCAAAAAATGGTTAAACTAAAAAATGTGTGAAAATATGCATTAGTCTACTTACTTGGTACTTAGATATTAGAGATATTTATAGGAAATTATATTGTAAATACTCATATTATATAGCTAAATGGATGATTGACTGATTACATAATTGTGGATATAGATAGAATCTGATAAAGTGATAGGTGACCGTTATTCATTGAGAATGTACAATATTGAAGAATAGGAGAGAGAGAGAGAGACCTAGTAGGAGGGGTAAGTATAGTTTATAATAGGAAATTGAAGAATATGGGAGTTAAGATCAAATGACATGTTGAGATATAATTGACTTTATAAGAATTTCAAAGTCTCTTGAGTTTAATGATATTTATAAATAAATAAAGATATAGTGTATATATGCTTCTCCCCTGCCCATTTTTTGCTTCAATAACACTTACTGAGGCATAATACATCGAACCCAATTGATACTAACCCTCAGAATCCTTATCTTCTGAGGGCCTCTTGAACAGATCCTGGTAGTCTTCTGCAGACTGCCACCAATTCCAAAACAATGACAACTTCTGAGAAATATGAACAAGTCATCAAACTAGTATCGCTAATCTTATGGCGAGAGAGAGAGATGGAAGGAGACGAGGGAGAGAATAGCTTAACTAATGCATGCTTGAACTCACATAAAAAAACAAAAAAACTGTAGTCCTTACAAGTTACAACTCAACAATACCTCAGCAAATCTCTTGCAAGTATAAAGGAAAAAATTTTAGTTCCAAACATAGATGCTTATTGTACAGTTTTGTACATTTAGATTTTAAAAACAAGTGTTCTCTCCCATCTTTGGGGCTGGTAAGGAATAAAAGTAGCTACTTTTACACCTTGGGGTAAAGGCAGTTCATCATGACTTAAGATTTTCTCACGCCAGACAAACTCGTTCTCGTGTTCATACTTTTGAAGCAATCCATTTAAATCGTCAATCTCCTTCCTGATAATCAGTCGCCATGACTCCTCACCCGGTATATTCTTCTGTGCATTATTTAATGCATGACGAAGAACCCCAACTGCAGCACCAATCTGACCAGCATTCTTTTGATCTTCAGCAAGGTGTTTGTAACTTCTTATTTCATGTAGAGCTTTGCTAGATAAAATGAAATCCTGCGCAGAACAAAAATCACCGTATATAAACCCAGAAAAGATTAAGAAAACCTCCTCTTCCCACCCCAAAAATACTAATGATGATCCTCCAATGAATGAGATGACAGTAACCAATAAGGAAACAGACACAGACAAGAAGGGAATGATGTGCTTGCGTTTGTTGCTGAAGGAGCACAAAGCAGCTAAGAAAATGTAACAAGGCCAAGAAAAGCGTAAGAAATCACTAGCAGATGTTGTCACATTTGCTCATCAGAGAAGACCGCAAGATTGAGATGGGAATAAAATTCGTGGTATTCTCTAATTTCCCATCTCCATTCCGTGTTTTTCTCTCATCCTTCTTTTGGATTACCCCTTGTTGTCTTTTTTTTTTTTCCTATATATTTTTTGAAGTACATAGATTTTCATGTTTCCCTTGTTACTTTGTTATTTAAGATAAATTGGACTATTGAAAAGGGGAAAAAAGGAATGGTCCATAGTTCACATTGACACCAAATTACCAGAAGGTCATATGTATAAGACAGAGTTAGGAGTGAAGAAGAGTAGAAAGCAAAGAAAAGACAACATCCCAGTATACGTTTCACCGAATTCAGGTTCTTCACAGACTAAGGTTCTAATAGAAGTCAACAGTTATTTTGATAACATATCTTCTCCAGAGTAAGATTTATAGGACATGTATAATAGAGTATTCTATGTGTTACTCGTGTTATTTATGACTTTCTCTTGATGCATCACTCATTTTCAAAAATAAGGGGTCTCTGCTATTCCCATACAGGGTAGCGGACTCTGCTTCCCCATCCATATTCCTCTATGCATAAAATTTACAAGAGAAATCACATCTATATATTCTTTAATCTCTCCATTATAAATTGGACCCTACATATAGTTTGTGTGTAACATACACACCAAACACATAAAATAAGTTTACATTGATTTAGTAAATTTACGTATTTCTCAAGCACAATACTTGAGCTAGACAGACTATCACCACATTTTACTATAATTCACTTCATTAAGTGGTACATCAGACACAAATGAGCATATTACTAGTTCACTACCATTCTGGGGAAAGGAAAGTAGTAAAAAAAATTGAGCCATTGATTACAACTTTAACAAGACAAGCTCTTGGAATAAAGCAACTCCAGTGTGGGGACCTTCAAGAACAGGAGGGAGGGAGAGACAAAAGGGAAGGTATAATCATATGTGTCTATTTGTATTGAGAATTTTCACTAGTTCATTAATTAACTGAAAGAAGATAACCAGAAACAAGACAAACTGACAGAAAGTGATTGAAGGTTAAAAAAACATTTTAAAGAAAGCCAACCAGAGCTTTTCTCTGAACGAAAATTAATTTCCTGGTGCTCTTTATGCTCATGGAAACAGTTAAAAAATTCTGCCAAACAGCAAAATAATGATATCATCACAATTAACACTGGGCAATTATATAAGTGTAGTCTCCATGCCACACTTGCATCCCCAACCCCTGGCAGAAAGAGTACAAATACTTCTTCTTTAGGTTTTGATAAAAAAAAAATACTATATAGGGATCACACAAAAAAGCCAAACATACCACAAAGCGCGATGAAATATCTTTGAACTCTCTTGTTGATGAATGTAAAATACCAGTGGCTTCATCAAGTGACTGTATCACACCATAGTGAAGCTTTGCCAAAAGACCTCCACTGTTTCCTTTTTCTTCAGCTTTCCTTATAGTTACGGTCTAGAAATTTTCAGGGAAAAAAGGCCATTCAAGAACAACCAGAATTGGTATCAACCACCAAAGATTAAAAGAGTAAGTTGGTGAAACAGATGATGCAGGCAATTGAAGCCACAAGGCAGTAAAAGCCTTAAGGAGCATACTAGAGATAACTGACACAGACCTGGGCCTCAGCCAAGCAAATGAGGCTCATAACAGAAGACACACTGGATGTAGCTTCAGGCGGCCGCTCTGGAGCCAATGCAGGCTGTAAAGAGGGAAGAACCTCATAGGCGAGGTAGTGATAAACTCCTGCAGCTTTTCTGAAAAGTGTGGCCGATTGCACCATATCTACAATGACGCACAGGAGATAGATAGAACCATTATCAATTCAAACATATTGTGTAAGATGTGTTTGATAAATTACTGCTACCTTCTGTAAGAACTTCTGAAGCCCATTCTCGAAGCAGTGCACCATAAAGGAAAAGGGCCATGCCAAGCTCAAAGCGCAAACTATCAATCTGGAAAAACTTTGGGCCCATAAGATTAAAGAAAGGCGACGATGCAAGAGCACTGCTCCATCTTATTTTAAGGTCCAAAGTACAGTAAACCATCCTGGAGTTGTCACCAATCAAGTCAACATAGTGAACCAAATTCTCCAGTAATGGCAAGTATTGTTCCAACCTTTGGACGTCCTGAGAAATTTTTAGGGAAATAAATAGAATGAGAACAACATATCATATGTTGTCACTTACTGATCAGATTTGGACGCAGTAAGCAGTGAAATGATGAGATCTGGAAGTCAAGACCATTTAATTACACAAGTTTATCTGGTAGATTCAGCAAAAGTGATGATAAAAACACTTTTCACGTGTAGTTTATTGGAATCATGCAATGGCCCAAATAGAAAAAGGCTGACAAGAAGCAACATTGAGGACTTTCATTTTTCATGGAATCATTGCAAGATGTCGGCTAATGAAATATTACCTGTTCACACTGCGAAGTTAACCCCCCAGACATTTCCCTAGCAATGGCATCTGTAATGAAGCTGCTCTTGTTAATAGACTCCTCAATTACTCTACGCTTGGAGCTCAACTCTTTGAGTTGCTCCAGTGTGCCAGAATCACGAGCAGGGAATATGCCTTCAAACACAATCTGTCACAACCAAAATCATAACACTAAAGCCCTAAAGAGCGAAACCCCAGCATAATGCAGGTAGCAATACAAAAAAAAAAGCATTTGTTGAGAGGATTCATCACATTGCATCCTTTGGATGTCATGCTTGAGTTTTCTCGCGGAAATATGATTCATATAATAGAGAAAACAATACTACAACTTTGAATATAGAGATTTGACAATTTATGCTACATATGGTTGCATTGATTGGACTTTAATGAAAATCCCAACACCATGAATAAGAAAGGAGTCCTTTCTCTGCATGTGTGTGTGTTCTCTGGTGATTCCTCCCCCTGCCCCTGGAAGCACTTGGGGTCTCTGGAATTTAGCATCCATTCCAATTCTGTTGTTACATTAACTAACCAAAAGAGAAACTGGGACAGTAGCAGCCTCCAAAACCAAATTCCAAACCCCCCATACCATGTAAGTGAGAAAAAAAAACCCTTAAGAGAGCAGAAAAATCCCTCATAAAAAGAGTTTACTTCTATGAATTCTTCTAATATCCAGACTGCCCTGACAACCAAGCACCATTCACTTCAGAACACCACAATAATTACATCAAAGGCAGTACAACCATCCTAAAACACGCCAGCTTTCTATTGAAAGGGCTCAACCTTTCCAATTACACCTTTTTGCCGTCCTTTTATTGTTGGAATTGATTGGTTGTACCTATCTGATAATCCAATATGAGTGAGTCGCTAGTCCTGACAAACCCAGATACAATGCTAAAAGAATGCTCGATTAAAAAAACAATTCAATCATACCAATGTGAACATTCAGAGACAAATGCACAAGTAGTAATGCAATTAGATCACCTTTGACAAAGTTTCTATCCACCCAAAAGAATCCAATAAGGGTTCCTCAACTACGGACTGTACACTATTTTCCCAATCCCAATAACTCTTAAAATGAACAAATTCCCATTATACACAAACAAAGTTGGAACCCTACTATGAATAATCAAATAGACACAAACCCAATGCAACTAGCAGAATGATACACTTTGGAAGCAATTCAACTGTACACTCTTTTCCCAATGCGAATAACTCTTAAAATGAATAAATTCCCATTATACACAAACAAAGTTGGAACCTTACAATGAATAATCAAATAGACCCAAACCCAATACAACTAGCAGAATGATACACTTGGGAAGCAATTCAACCTCAGTTCTACACATCTTAGAGCTTAAATGTGAATCAGTACATAACGAACAACAGACTACCTGCTTGGTTTTGAGTTTTGAAGGGTCCGGAAAATGCATCATCATCTTTCACAATCCCAATTAGATGCTAACAAACAAAACAAAATGAGTAGCAAATCTCTCTGTCTTGATCTTCACTTGGATTTCATTACTACAATAAGCATCTCTCTCTCTCTCTCTTGAATGATTGCGAAGACTAGACAAAACCCAGGTTCTAATTTGATCCCAAATAGGGAAACACAATAAAATATGAATATAGGAATCCAAACCGGGTTTGTAGGCTATAATTCAAATAAGCACTAAAGCAAAGAAAGAGAGTGGAAATCTGTGATGAACCACCTCGAAAGAGGGTCTTTAGAGTTTGAAAACTACGAGAAACACTGACTATTGTGAATTTCTACGCCTATTACAGCTATAAGCAGAGAATTAATGCCGTCCTTTCCTATCTACGCTTATTTATGGTCGTTCTCAATCTCTCTCCCCACATTGTCGTTTCCTTCTCCGCTAAGAATACCGATGGCATTGGGAGTTGAATTATGTGGACCACACTGTGGGCTCCCGCGGGCCCACTTCTTTGTCTTCCACTGAGTTTGGGCCATATGACTCCTTTTCAGCCCAAATTATTTCAAAAAATCCTCAATTTTTTTATTAAAATTTTTTTTTTCTAGTTAAAAAAGTGATCTGGGACGACAAGGCGTAATAACAACACGACATTACGATTTCTATACGTTGTAAAACGTTCAATTTGAACAATAGCTATTAATCTGGGGTGGTCAAGTTCATCAGCAGCACCAAATATTTTATTATTATACAACAATATCTAATTTATAAAAATTATTATCATAAGCAGGTTCAAACCCACGACCATCGAAAAAGGACAGGAATTTCACATTTTTCAAAATTTAATGATTTACTATCAAAAAAATAAAATAACCAACAACATATTGATTCAAACTGAAAAGTCACCTCCTGCCATTTGCAAAAATAAAAAATTGTCACTTTTGCTGGTAAGCGACAGGTATGGATTTATAATTTCTTGAAAATGGTTTTCTTAATACATTTATAAAACTAACTAAATTGTTATTTGTTATACATACCTCTATTTTACTAGAAATTTATAGAGCGGGAACCTACTAGGATGTTTCGAAAACCTTTATTCATCAATTCCTAAAAATATTTTTGTTAGGGAAAATTTTAGTCACACCTCATTTAATTTATTATATCTTCCAAGAGATTCTCTCTATTTTATGAATCTTCACTAATACCCCTGTCAGATTAAAATTATTAACTAAAATATAATTTTACTAAATTTTTCTTGATATATTTGAAGAAAAACTTCATCTAAGCCACCTCTAGATGAACATATCTTTAATGAGACTTCTTCTATTTTTTTATTTTTTTTACCTATTAAATTTCGGACCGATTAAAATTAGATTCGAGTTAATTAAAATTTATCTTTTACGTATTAAGATTCAAGTCAATTAAAAATTATATTTCTAATGTATTAAAATCTATCCGATTAAAATTTTATTCGAGCAGATTAAAAAATAATTTTAATTATTTTTAATCAACTCAAATCAAATTTTAATCAACTCGCATTGAATTTTAATTAGCCCAGATTTTGATACATACAAAAATATAAATTTTAATACGTAAAAAATAAAAAATATAAATTTTTATCAATTCGAAGCGAATTTTAGTCAGCGCTAATATCTTAAGCAGAGCTTAAATCGTCTCGAATTTTAATAAGTAAAAAATAAATTTTAATAAACTTGAATGTTAATATGTAAAAAGAACAGTAAAATTTGGAGTTGAGTCCTCCTTAACGGACTTATAATGAGTTTAATCCGTCAATAAAACTTATTTGAGGATAAGTCCGTTTTTAATTTTACTAATAAGTAGTTAAATCCACTATTTTTTAAAAATTTCAAAATACTCTTACTTAAAAGCAACTTTAAATTAGTTTCTTAACTTGAGAATTATTTGTCACTAATTTTTGTATATAAATTTGAAATTCAAATCCAAATAACAATTGATACTCTCTCTCTATATGTATATACAGATGTACACACTAGTAGTTCCAGATGGACTTATCAAAGTAGATTATTTATTTTTTGTTTAAATGTTCCTATTTTTATTTTTGAATGTTACTATTGTTTTTGTTTTTGAATGTTTCATGTCACTGTTTTTTTTTACCATGTTACGGTTTTTGTTTATATGTTACTATTTTTGTCGGACATGTTATTGTTTTTTTTTACTATGTTATTATTGTTATTTTTTTTAAATATTAATACTCAATGTTATTATTATTTTATTGTGTTTAGAAGTTACTATTTTTTTTAAGTGATAGTATTTTTTATATTTAATGTTACTATATGTATCTATATCTATATAATAAAGTAGCTCACAATTCAAATCTCAACACCCTAAATTTAATAGGAAAAATAGGTCCCTAAAATGTGTGTTTTGAGTGATTTTTTAAAAGTATTTCTATAAATAAATACTTTTAAAAATATATATTTGAAACCACCTCACCACTATATCTACCGCCACCGTCGCTGTCACCGCCACTACCACTATTGTCATCGTCATCGCAGCCATCACTGTCACTGCCACCACCATCACTGTTGTCGCCCCCATTATCATCACCGCCACCACCACCCCCCTGCCCCCACCGCCATCATTGTCACTGTTATCGCCACCACTGTCGTTGCCACCATCACCATTGCCACTACCTCCACCACTGCTACCCCCCCACTGCCACAGTCATTGTCACCCATTACAACCATCAGCGTCTCCTATCACTACCTCTCACCCCCACTACAAGTCGATACTTAAATTCTTTTCTTTTATTTTCTATGTTTGCAATTTGATTTTGAATATGAATATAAATATGTTTATTGTTTATCATTTTTAATTACTTTGTACCTTCAGGCACAAACAATAACTAATATATATATATATACTAGCAATGCACCATATGCATTGTAAGCGAATAATTTTCATACATAAAAATTGATATACTATATTAGTATATGTGTGTCTAAATTAAATATTATCTCAAATTTATCAGACTTAATTTTTCATTACTCATATTCTATTATAGAATTATGAAAACTTTATATATTTCTAAAATTTTTTATTCCAACTATAAGAAAAAAAGAAAAAAAATAGTAAAAGTTCAATTTTTTTTAGAATTTTGTGATTGAAAATTATTTTTTAGTAATGTTTGAAAAATTAAATTTTTTGAAATTTATTTGATTAGCATTTCACTTATAATTCCTTGAATAAAATAAAAGTAATTGTCAATATACTACTTAATTATATTAGAACTTTACCGTAATTAAGAATTAGTTAAGTCAATTTGGATCAAATTTAATATAATACACTATAATATATATTTTCAAATATATCAAAATTTTAAAAAATTTAAGTTTTACTTAAGAATACACTACAAACTATTTTCACATAAAATCTTAATATAACTTATAAAATTTATTGAAAACTAAAAAATTATATTAATGTAGCATAAATTAATTTTAAAAAATTAGATATATAAATATTTTTTATGTTAGAAATAAAAGAGTTAAACTTGCAGATAATGTTATCATTGCATATGAGATGAATAATGTTAGATTGATGAAGTTTTTAAAAGTTTTTTGAATAATTTATTGAAAATATAATGATGCATATTTTTTAAAGATAATATAGTCAATACAAAAGTTTCAATGAAAATGACATTTATATAGAGATAAGAGATAATTAAAAGAGATATTAGAGGTAATGTAGAGATTTAAATACATAAAAAGATAATAGATAATTTATATATTTAATTGTGAAATGACCGAGTAATCTTTATAATTTTTTATAAGGGTAAAATAGATAATCAAAAAATTTTCATATTAAGTTACTTTTATAAGTAGTGTATAGTGAGTGTGTATGTGTGTGTATATATATGAGAGAGAGAAATAAATAGTCTTATTCTATATATAGATATAGATAGATAAGAGGGAGAGAATTTTAAACTTAGTCAAACTCTTAAAATTTAGGAGTTGTTAGTTTTTAAAATTGTTTTAATTAAATATAATTATTGGAGGTATTTTAGATAGTGGAGATCAAAATGGACTTAATATTAAAAAATTTAATTAATAGACTTATCACCAAATAAGTTTACAAAGGGGATTGATCTCCAAAATTTTTAAAAGAATAAAATTTAATCAGTTCGAATTGAATTTTAATTGACTCAAATTTTAATATATAGAAAAGGAATTTTAATCAAATTTTAATAAAAAAAAATTGTTTGGTGTTTATGTAGAGGCATTTTTGGTATTTTAGATGATTTTTTTTTTATTAGAAACGGTGGTTTAATGAAAGGGGGTGTAAGTGTTTTTCTTATAATAGAAATAAAGATAATGTATTTGAAGATATAGTAAACTAATAGGGACATGGTTGAAATTTTTCTTTTTGTTATTATGTGTAACAAAGATAAGCTTGACATTTTTTGCACAGCTACCATAGAAATTGTTTCCTAAGGAAAGAAGAATAAGTTGAAGGAGGAGTATAATAGGAAAAAAAATGGACAATTTAACAATGGGAGCGGATAAAGATTAAAAAAAAAAAAGTGTGAGGAAAAACTTTAAAAGAATTATTTTAACATTTTGTCAAATCTTATAACAGGGATGAATTGTAAAACTTAAACACCTCGATTTTAAATTTTAACAATTTTTTTGTCTCAGGCCATGAGGGATAAATCTCTCACGAAGTCCTAGCGTGGATGATTCGTTTTTGACCAAACAGGGAGAGAATTAGTTGACTTGCACGTAAATTAACCCGAACACCTCTGATCATTAAAAAAAAAAATAGTCCTAAATGATGTTAATATACAACATTTTAATATAATGTCATTAAACAACTGGTATGCACCCAATATTTATATGGTGTTTCAACATTAATATCTAACTACCAAATTTGGTTTTATTATGACTTTTTTATTTTGGAAATTTCATTTAGGAAATATGATATTGCTATTTTTGTCTTTATTAAATAATATTACTCTGCAAAATTAATCTCTTCAAAATTACTAGGTCACATACTATTCATTATATATCTCATAATTAATGAGAATCTATCTTGTAATATATGAAGATCTCGTGTATTTAAAATGAGCATACTCAACCCAAATAGGTAATCCAGTGGAGATAGGAGCGGGGGTGAGAGCACAACAACACCAACATTCAAAAAAAATTGAGAATGTCTTAAAAATGTTATATTATATGCATACAAACACACATTTACTCATCAAAATTTAATGTAAATAAATTATAAAAAATTAAAATTTCATTTACAACTATAAAACACTATTTAATTTTTAAATATATGTTTGGTTATAAAGTCTTAAAATGATAATTATAGTTTACAAATATTTTTTTAATTTAATATGTATCTCTTAGGTTTGAGTGAGTACTTCCCAAATAAAAATTTGAGCAATAATAAGTAAGTATATAATGTAAATTAGTTGAATTTGTGAATTAAAAAAAATTAAAATTACTGTAAATTGAGAGTGTAAATTCATAGAGAATTCGTCTTTAGAAAAATTATGTGAATAAAAGGGCGAATTTGTAAATTCCAACGTTCTAAATAACTCTCTTTAACACCAAGCAGGAGCGGGTTGAATACTTGAATCTGATTTGAATATAGTGGGAGAGAAAGCCTAAAACCTGCCGAAGTTTAGTGTTGATTGGCATAGAGTACGGCCGTACGGGTAGTCCGCCGACTTTCAACGGCAGTAGTTGAAAATCGTTTGAAAGAGCAACAAAAACCATTTGATTGGGACATTTTGACGAACACATGGCGAACAAACAGTTGATCGTAGCCGTTGAAGGCACCGCTGCCATGGGTCCCTTCTGGCAAACCATCGTCTCTGATTACCTCGACAAGATCATAAGGTACTCTCGTATCATCTCCCTCTGACACTTTATATAGACAATAGATATACACACAGGCATATACCCCTGTTTTTTTTAATGAGGTTGGATTGACTGCTTTACAACGTTAGGGCTTTGTGTATTTGCAGAATTCTTGGAGTGTGAACGGGATTAGTGTTTGTTATGGTACCCTTTTTGGTTTTTAATGTTATGATGAGTTATGTTTTTTGATTTTATATTTTTTTTTGTAGTGCCTGGCATTGCAACAGCTGTGTTTAATTTGCGAAATTCGCTCCATTGGTGGAAAAAATTTGAATGGGGTTGCTGTGATCGAGAGGGTAACCGTTCAAGTTCTATTTCTAGCTACGGGTAGGGTTATTGCTTGGTTAAATAGATAAAGCATGGGCTGTTGAGCGTGGGAATACTGGTTTGAGTTGTAACTACGTTGAGCTAACATAATTCGACTGTTACTGTCAAAACGAAAACTTAAGAAATGTTGGGGTGTATGGTTTCAACCAGTCCCAGGACATCATTCCCAACACCCTGAATTGGTGGACAAAATTGGTTATTGGCTTCTTATTTATGTGTTGAAGAGAACAATTTGGTTTGATGGCCGTCAAGTAAAGGAAATCAAGATCACGTTAGTTAATGAAAGATTTTGACCAGAAACCGTGTCAATTTAGAGTTTTGAATAAGGGATGGGACAACCCCTTTTAACTGTTACATTTATTCTCAAAATTTTCTCTGCCTGCTTGTGTGTCTGACTTTTGCATTCATTTTGTCTTCTTTTTCTAAGTTTGATTGTCGCTTCATTATCTTTCCAAAACCAAGTTATCAACTCTAAATGTAGGTTATTTGTTGCCTAAGTATAGGTAAAGTTGATTTCTCACATATATGAACCTAAGTTCCAGGTAGCAATTGGGTCATTTTCTTTCCTGTGATATAAAGTGGACATCATGGTGAATTTGTGCTTTTTACAAAGACATCACATAAAGGTCAGCAATTCTTATACTGATGGATGTGTTAATAAAATGGTGCAAACCTTAAACAATATCCATATGTCTTCCCAGAGTTACTCCGTATGAGTGTAGAAGGATATATATAGGGAGAACCAGTTTGAATACTTGAAGGATATATTTGAATACTTGAATAGGAAGTATCAGTTGCAGACATGAGATTTATTGATAAATACGGTCCTTTAATAGCCCATTAAATATGGATGCTATTTAACAGGTGTTTGTCCTATTTAACCCAGACATAACAACGAGGTTGCGATATATGCCTCCTAAAGTTTGCCTTCCCTCACATTTCTTTTTCACAACATGATGCCAGAAACCATATCCAAGAAACAACTGATTGTCGTCATTGAAGGGATGGCTGCCTTGGGTTTCTTTTGGCATACCATTCATATGGATTATTTGAAAAATATTGTTTGGTCAGTCTGCACTCCATTTACAAGCATTGCAGTTTCTGTTTGCAGAACTCCCCTTTTAATTGCTTTAACTTTCTGCTTTGATGCAAGCCACTTTTCCTTCCAATAGTTTATTATCCATAGTTAAGTATCCAATCTCAGTCAACTGTTGTCGCTCAAGTGCTTGTGATGCCTAAGTCTGGTTGGAAGAGACATGTGTTCTTTCTGTACACCTCTTCCATTGTCTGTTATTATCTGTTCTACGAAGTGACAACTCATCCTATTTTATGTTGTTTTGCGTTGTTGTAGTTGTGCGTGTTTTTGTTCCTGTAAGGCATGATAATTTCTGTCTAAGAAGATTATGATATCTAGTAAGAGCACTTGCATCCCCAATCAAATAATTAGGACCACTAAGGTTGATTTATATACTCGAGGGGCCACTTCATCCATTGCCGGTTTTGGGTTGGATGCTCTAACAATATCTATAGCTATTACAGGTTTTGTTCATTTTTTATGTTGATTTGGAGGAGATATGTCCATTGATTTTGGTCACATGACTAAATAGCTATTGGAAAATTGTTCCCTGGTATTCCATCACATAGGAATTGAGGTTAATTTATTTCAATAATTTCAGGTATTTCATTTTTCTTCCTTGGTATCATATTTCTGTTGGTCATTCTTCTTTTTTCCCCCTCTATTTTTGTAAGGAACATTTTTTGGTTGGATTGTTGTTCTCTGACGATAATGATTTTGATACCCAAACAACGGTTATTATATTTTTGAAGAATTGTCAGGGCTGGAGTTCTTGTATTGCTGAGTTTTTTTTGTTAAACAACTTGAAGGATCTCCATCCTTCTTTCAAGGTGCTACTAAACTAGCAGCATGAAATTTGTCCTGTGTTAATTTAAGAAAGAGGGACAAATCTATTTCATATTCATCTGAGAATCGTGGCTCTGACAATTTTGGTGTTACCTGTGGGTGAACTGCTGCACAGCAATAAAGTCTATGTTATTTCCTAGCCTTGCAGATGAGAGGTAGTAATTGGTGTTTCTTCATTCTCTGCATGAAGTTCATCATTGTGTCGAAATTAGATGATTATATATGAATTTTGGGGGTATGATGTGTTAAGGATCTTTGTTATTTTGATCATTATTATTTTTTTACAAAGTGAAGTTGCAATCTCTTGATTTTTTTTTTCCTCTGTTCATGCTTTTCTTTGTTACACACTTATACTGATAAGAAAATGCATTTTATATTTGTTTGTTAGTTTCGCCTAATGTGGCATCAATTTATTTTGACAGGCCTACTAATGAAAATGGTTATGTAGTGGATGTGGTGATTACTTTTTCTTGGGAAAAACCTAATGTGCTTTATCATGTCAAGTAACTAGTTTGTGTCTTAAAATAATTGAATGTTATCCCGCACTTGTTGTAGCTATACGAATTGCAAGAATGCATTGAGCTTGTAGGTTATTCTATTTGTTGACTACCATGAGGTTTATACTTCAACTATAAATATTGTCAATTTGTCATCATCTTATAAATGACGTTTGTGGTCAGCAATATATATTTGTTTCTGAACTCATCAACAAATTTTAGGTACTTATTTTGCTCTTTGGTTCTGAATTATTTTCTACGCTGTGCAGGTATTTTTGTGGAAATGAGTTGGCAGGGCAGGTAAGCATATATTTATTTCATCTGAAGTTTTGTGAAATTTAATTGTGCTATTTTTTTTCTGTATTCTATTTAAATCCGAAAGCTGGCTGTGTATCTGCGCTGTTTGTATATTAGATGTGATGATACGGTATTCATACAAAAGAAATGTTCTTAGTGCTAAAATAGCTGTTTTGATGTTTAAAAGAGTATCATGTACAATATGTAATATGATTATTTTTTCTGCCTTCATTTTGGATTTTGGTGACTATGGAATTTTGAAGTTATTTTTCATTAGATTGTCTTGAAGGATCGGATAAGGATCTTTTTCTTTTCGAAAAGCTCTTGTCTTAGGGGGTCAATTCTTTCAACAAGATCCATTCAGATCAGATCAAGATGAATGGGATTGGTCTGACCTCTCTCTCAAATGTAAGACTCCCGCCACAGATGTTCCAATCCACATTGCATGAACAGCTATGCCTGAGGATGAAGGAATTGTGTTATCACGCAGTAAAAGCCATGGCTTTATTCCCCATTTGAAATACATGAAGTGCTTTTATGGTAGAGTAAATAGGGGGCCCTATAATTGGATAACATAATTTTATGTGATGGACTATTCAACATGAGAAAAGGCAATTTGTGAGAGCATCAAACTTATGAAAATGCCAGTAGATTCTGACGCATTTGGTAGTCGGTAGATATAATTCTGCTCTGACCAGCCTTGTGCACACAGTCAAGGACCATTTTCTTATCAAATTGTTGTGTGTTAGAATGAAAAATAGCCCTTTTGGCATGGCTCTCCACATTGATTAATTGATTGAAACCCCCATCCCTGCACTTGCACACGAACCCTTAACCCTTGAAACATATGCCAAGTGATACTTCTTCTAGTTCTAATTCCAGAAACGATATAGGACAGAAAAATGGCTTTTAAGACTAGTTACATTAGTTTCTTTGTGGCTAAAGGTCAGCCAACAGGAGGAGTTTGTTTAGTCTCTGAATTCATAAGAAAGTGGAAAACGTATTTTGTTGATGTTCTGGGCCATAAAAAATACTTACCAGCATCTATAACTTACACATTTCGTTTTTAGGGTCTTGGTCTGCATGTGTGAAGGACAGAGATGACTGGCTTATTAAATAGGTCTTTTTGGTACAGGGTGAAATTATTTTAGATACTGGGAATCCTTTCTAGAATAGGTACACATCAACTAGTTTAGCGTTGCATCAAACAATCCTGAGAGAGCTTCAAAAGCTTTTAAAATTTGTTTAAGCGGATTTTTATTGCATCAAAAGACAGGTTGCTGGACTTTTTGGATCTTACTAGAGTTATGACTGCAAAATTACAAACTCAAGAACTTCCATTGTAAAACCTGTTAAACCTATTGAAGGCCCATCGGTTGGCCAGGGGGTTTTTTTTTTTGGGGGGGTTGTTGTTGGGTGTGTGTAGAATGAAGCTATGATAAATTTATAGATAAGCGCCCAATGACATTGTTTTTTATTAGTAAAATTTTCATTTGGGGTGCAAACCGTGTATACAAAAGTGTCCGATGATGTTACCTGACCCAAAATAACGTTCATGGATCACCACTAAAGTCCATTACCTGAAAAGTGAAAACTGCCAAAATACCTTGACTCGTAAAATTTTAACCCAAAAAAAAAAAATGCAAACATATTTAACTTGAAGAAAACTTAAAGAAAGCATCAAATGGTTAATAGCAATCAACAATATATTATACATTTTTACAAGCTTGGCAAGCCTCCTTTTTGATTTGATGTTGCCTATGCCTCTGATATTCCACAAGAGGTTATTTCTTAATCATGGCTAACAATGAAAGATTTTTGAGAAGAACGATAACCCATCTGGAGCTCTTCAAGTTTGATTCTTGTACTTTGGCAGATGTATCTGGCTACTCCTTGTAGGATTCAGAAGCTTTAGATTCCTAAGTGAGCTTATGTTCTATTATTTGCTCGATAGACGCATGGACTTTGGAGGCATCCTTGTTACACATTCGAGGGTTTTCTTAACCACGGTGTCAACTTCTCTAAATGATGCCCATAAACATTTCATTTAGGACCCTAATGCATTCCTATGAAATGTAAGACAACACTTCCTTACTATATGGGATTTTGAAAACTGATGTTTTACAAAGATAAGTGATAACTGATGTTACAAAGACAGTTGAAAATTGATGTTACAAAGGGAAATGAAATTCTAGAGAAAATAATGTCTGGTCAAAATAATAGCGGGAGATGATTAAAATGTGTAATATTTTCCAGGATCTAAGGTTTTGGGAAAGGGGAGAGAGATGCACTTAGAGGAAATTAAGGTAGAACATTAATGGTGCCTGACATAAGCTTGAACCAGAGTTTACATATCTTTGTATACTATGGATCTTACATGGAATGATCTGAATGTCTTATTTTATATTGCACATGCATTTGTCACTAATCTGTATATTTGTGAGCAACAAATGAATGCTCAGATGACTGTGCCTTTTGGCATCTATTTGCAACTATCAGCACATTTTGTTTCATTTAAGTTAAGAGTTCACTGGTTGACGGCATTATTTACTTCTGTAATAATTAATTCTGTATCTTGCCATGTTTTACCTTCTATCATTTTAATCTATCTGTTCACGTTTTTTGGATAAACAGAAGCAATCTGCTCCCATTGTCGAGCTGTCTCTGGTCATGTTTAATGCTCATGGATCTTACAGTGGTGCGTTTTTCCCATTTTCTTATGGATTTATGATACAGGGATTTTTTATTGATGTTATTTTGCTCTTTGCTGAGTAAGCTGGTTTGTGAAAAAAACAAATGAGTTGACATCATGCACGGCCCCCACCATGCAGAAATCCATCCTTCTCACCTGTTGCCCCCCATCTCTTTCATGTAACAGTGTGTAGAGTTGAAAATTTTATATGAGGATTCAAATGTTTTTACTATTCAAAAATATCATGAATCAGTTTCATTCTGTGGTTTTAGAGTTCAATCAATATCAAGATATTTAGATTTCAATCTTCCTGAATGCTTCATTAACTGTTTGTATTTGTGTGGCAACTAACAAAGTTCTTTTTTATCCTTTCCCCTTTTTTTTATCTTCTCCCGATCTCTCCTTTACGCAGGTTGCCTAGTACAACGGAGTGGCTGGACAAGAGATGTTGATATTTTCTTTCAGTGGCTTTCAGCTATACCCTTTGCTGGTGGTGGTTTCTGTGATGCCGCGATTGCAGAAGGGCTTGCTGAAGCTTTAATGGTATGAGGTGTTTATTATGCCCTTCTCCATATAGATTTGAAATTTCAGTTCACAAATACTGAATGGGCCCTGGTGTTGCCTTAATTATGTTTGCAATTAAATTTCTTCTGTTCATTTTCTTCTTTTCATGAATTTCAAGCTCCTCTTTCTTGTTAACATGATCATTTTGCTTGATTCAAGTTCTTTACAACTTGGAACAAATCATATTTTGTTTAGAATTTCTCTACAGAGTATAACTATTGCTTATTTTAGGCAGGCTTAAATATAGGAGAATTACATAAACTTATTAGCTGATCAAATTCTTTTGCTGATACTCTCTAGGAGTGACTTTTAAAGTAGCTGGAAGAAGGATTTAATGATGATCATTGAGACAGTTATTGATGGATTTATTATGACTGTGACTGTGGATTTTCTTAACTAAAATTAGGGCATGCTGAAAACTCGCACTGAAGCTCTTTTGGAAGTAGCAACAACAGCTGGTAGCCTATGATAGGGTCAAATTATTTCTGCCAGTAATAGGGCTTGACCAAACACGCCTTTCCCTAGTTATCTAGAATTGGCTACACGAACTCCTTTCTTGCCATTCCGCTCTTTTAGTTCCAGGCATCCTGTATCTTCTAGAAGACTAAATGAAGTTACCTACCCGTTGTCGCTGCTGCACATTGAAGGTGAACGGTATCATTTTTCTTTCCTTCAGTCCAAGGGTGTACATATAGCATGATCAGATCATCTTCTGATATATTAAAGACTTATGTATGTGGTGTTTTAGGACTCTTTCTTAATCTAGGCTTTTATTACTTTCTGTTTTGATATTGGTGGTCATTTAGATGTTCTTTAAGTTGAGCATTTCCGATAACAAAATTTAAAGGGAATTGCAATTCACTGTTTATTTAGAACATGCAGCTATAACTGGAAACTATGGTTAAATTACATGTGCAATCATATAAAAGTGACGTAAGTGGACGAAGTATTGATAATTATATGTAAAATACTTTAAATGTAGTGAAGAAAGTGTATACTGGACTCTACCGAATAAGTATGCAGACCTCTTGATGAGTTGTTGGTTTAGAAGTGTGAAAAGACCACCGGGGTATCCGTTTCCAGTTGATGATAATTTAGATGAGCAATATTTGTCTTCCTCCATTGTTAAAATTGTTAAATGATTCAATGGATGTGATGTTTAGTTCCTTGTTGGACAAGTTGAAGCTAATGCCTTCTTATAACTTTCGAGTATGTGAACAACTTTTGCCATAAAAATATTTGTCCTTATAACTTTTGTTTGTGGATGGGATCATATGGGACCATTCTAGAGGACGGGGTCGTGTTTCAATTGCAATGCAACTTAATAGAATCTATTACATTACCAAACATACTCCTTAAATCTTAGTGGTGAAGATTGTTTTTGCCCAAAGAAAAAAAGGGGAAAACATACAAGTGTGCACCTCTATAAAAGTATGTCTATTGCTTTTGACTAGGGGTGACAATTTTTAATAAGATAAACAAAATGACACGATCCACTAACTGGGATAATAAAAAGGTCAGTTTAGTGTCAAACATGAATAACCCCAATTGGACATAACAAATATGTTTAGATGGTATAATATAGAAAAGAATTGATGTTTTCTATTTTTTTCCTCGTTTTTGATCTAGTATTATAAGAATCATTGTAAAATCAAAGAACTTTTTACTTAGTCTACCAAACATATGGATTGAGGGAATTTTTAGATTATGGATAACGTATGAAGTGATTAATTTGGTTGAAAGAGAAGGGAGACTTAAATTTGAATTTCTGGTTCACGTGTTATGTTTGTCAATGAACATGATTCGTTTGATTAACAGATTGGGTGAATGTCAGATCATCTTGACACAATTAGTTATACAAGTTGGATTGGGGTTGACAAGTAGTCGACACAACTTGAAATGACACTACCTAAACTAAACACAAATAATACGACTCAATTGCCACCCCTAACATACTGTTAGGTGATATGGGCAAATCTTAAGATACTTGTGACTGAAAAGTAGACAAACTGTCTAATCACAATTATTCTGATGCATTACGCAGATGGTCTCTTCTCCAAGTGGAAGCCATGCTCAACAAAATACAGATAGGAGGCATTGCATTCTTGTCGCTGCAAGTAACCCTTATCCCTTACCCACACCGGTTTATCGACCACAACTGCAGAACTCAGAGCAGAGTGAAAACATAGAATCACAAGCAGACAGTCGACTATCTGATGCTGAGGCAGTTGCTAAATCATTTGCACAGGTACTAGTATAGAAGTATCTGTTCCTTGTTTTCTCAGGCACAGATGTTAAAGTAGTTGCTAAATCACTTGCTCAGGTATTAAGTAGCAGAGCTGACCGTTTACTTTTTGGCCTGCAGTGTTCTGTTTCTCTGTCAGTTATTTGTCCAAAGCAACTTCCAAAACTTAGAGCAATCTACAATGCGGTAATATGGCATTGTTTATTTATGTACTTAATCATTTGTCTTTTTTTGGATGAGCTTATTGAAAACATACTCAACTAGTCCATGTGTTTAGTTGTAGTGATGTTTCAGCACCGAGTTCTCACATCAACTTTGCCCAGCCTTTTGTATTGATGCAGTTTTTTAGTCAGAGGAATAGGCAATACGAATATGTTGGTTGGTTTGTCGGATCACATCATGACGAATTGGATAAGTTTGGATTTTCAAGATTGTGGATTTAGGGGAAGGGTGTGAGAAAGTCATGAGATTCATGCCATATCTCATATTCTTGTTGGCCTACTGTGTAGATATAGTGCCGAATGATTCTTTTGCTGCCAGTTTTTTCAAAGAAAATATTTAATGATACAGCCTGTTGGGCAATTAAGTGTGGCAGAAATGAAAATTTTAAGATAGAAGTAGCACCAATAGAAGATAAAGAGACTTGACTTGCATGCTTTGAAGATGCTTATAGAAAACTTATTCTTGCACCAACGATTGAGAGTGATATAATATATCTAGATGGTAATGCAAGTGGTGGAGGTAGACAGAAATTAACTCTGAATGAGATAGTAAAACATGGTGTAATAACTTTCAGTTTAACAAAATGTATGAACCTTCACAGATGAGAAATAGAATTCATGTAGCCATCCCCAATTAGTAGAGACAAGGCTTAGTTGACTTGAGTTGGGTTAAGCGAAACACGAAATGCTTTCTGTAATAGTAATGCCATAGACCTCCAATACTCAATTTGGAATTTTTTTTTCTTTCTTTTTGCCTCTTAAGGTCCTTGCCCTCTAATTGCTTACACTTGATCCCATATTATGTACATGGTTTTCCTGTTATTTGTTTGTTTACCTATATATAGATTTGGTTATTTATAATATTGAAGTTTTATTTTGTGTCTAATGCCCTAAAATAGAAAGAATTTATGAATACTACTATGCTTTTTGGACACTGGGCATGCTCATGACTTCATCAATTTGGCATTTTAGGCAAAACGCAATCCACGGTCAGCAGATCCGGCTGTTGATAATGCTAAAAATCCTCATTTTCTTGTCCTAATCTCGGAGAATTTCATGGAGGCTTGTGCTGCTGTAACTCAGACTGGATTGACTAATTTGACATCCAATCAAAGTCCGGTAAAAAAGGATGTAGCTTCAGTTCCTTCGGTTTCAGGGCCGCCTTCAACTACTATTCCATCAGGTGGTTTGCACATTGAAGTTATTTTTCCATGTCTTTTATGCCCTTTTGCTGTGTTGGATGTTCACTCTGGCTTTAAAAGTTGTGTGGTCAATCAACTAATGTGAAGTATATATGAGGTTTTTTTTACTTTATTTATTTATTGGATTTTTTACGGAACTATATCAAACTCGATGGGTCTGAGAAAGAAAAAGGAGGACAAGAAGTGGATCAATCAATCATGTTTATTTCGCGATTCAACCTGTTCATATGCGCAACATAGAGGATACGTGTTTTAAATTCTGTAAATGTCGCAGCATCTTTTCGTGTTCTCCTTTTGTTTTTATAAGAATCTAAATTGAAACTAGCAGCTCAAGATGCATCGTATGTTGAACAACATTAACAGTGTTAGAATTTTCCATTAGGTTCTCTGTTCTTGTTGGCAGGATTTTCACGGACCGTGATACACACTCATAAATGTAAAATCTCTTCTATGAAAACCATTTTCTTTTTTCTTATTATTTTTTTTTGAAGTTTTTTGTAGTGGTTGATTTACAATGGTTTGATCAGAACTGGTATTATATGTCTTCAAGTGCTCCAGAAGTTAGTTGGAAATTCGGAGAAAGAGTATTTGGAACTCACTTTTAAGAACAAATCTGTTCAAGTTTCAGATTGTGGGTCATAGGACTAAAAGCATACTTGTGAAATAGGGCCAGTGAAACTTATTGGTTGGATAACAACATTAATGCTCATGAATAATTTATCTCGATAATTTGAAATACTAATACTTTTCACATTTTTCCTTTTCAGTTAATGGATCCATTGTGAATAGGCCACCAATTTCCATTGGAAACATTCCTCCTGCAACTGTCAAACTTGTACGTCTCAAACTCTCTTTTTTGAGTTTCTTTGCTTTTGTAGTTTCCCGGATATTTCAAGATTGTGCGAGTGCTGATGGTTTCATGACATTTTTTTCCTCAGGAGCCAAGCACTGTGACTTCCATTGCGTCTGGACCTGCTTTCATGCATATTCCATCTGTTCCTCGTGCTGCTTCTCAAGCAGTTCCAACCTTACAGACTTCTTCACCAATATCGGCTTCTAAGGAGATGATCTCGAATTGCGAGAATGTGCAAGATATGAAACCTATGGTTAGTAGTATGACACAGTCCTTACGTCCTGTGGGTGCTGCAGCAAACGTGAGCATTCTTAACAACCTCTCTCAAGCACGGCAAGTGATGAACTCTGCAGCTTTAACAGGAGGAACTTCTATAGGACTTCAACCAATGGGTGGAACTCCTGTTGCCATGCACATGTCAAACATGATATCCAGCGGAATGGCATCTTCAGTGCCTGCTGCGCAAACTTCATTATCATCTGGACAATCAGGGATCCCATCAATGTCTGGCTCTGGGACACTAGCAGGGAGTGCACAGGTTGCACAAAACTCAGCTCCTGGTTCATTCAATTCCTCAACTACTACTATGCCGGGGAATTCAAACCTTGGCATGTCACAACCATTGAGTAATCATCAGGGAGGTGTCAGTCTGGGGCAATCGGTACCTGTCATGAGCCAAGGAAACCTTTCAGGGGCACAAATGGCACAAAGTGGAATGGGGATGAATCCAAACATGATGAGTGGCCTTGGCCCATCTGGTTTATCTGCCGGAACAGGCACAATGATTCCTACTCCAGGAATTCCTCAGCAGGTGCAACCAGGAATGCCGCCGCTTGGGGTGAATAACAATTCAGCAGCTAATATGCCACTGAACCAACAAACATCAAGTGCTTTGCAGTCAGCACAATCTAAATATGTAAAAGTTTGGGAGGTAAGACGCCATAACTGCTAGAAAGGATTGAAGTTGGATTTCCAAACTGCAGATTGCAATGCTTAGAAATTTACACATAAAACATGGTCGTTTATGGTTAAAATGCCGGTGTGCAATTTTATATCATTAATTTTAAAGTTTTTATAGTTTCTTACTATTGGAGAACATGAAGTATAATTGGTAGTAGAGTATTGGCATTTGGATGCATGTTTTGTACACCTAGGGATGGTTAATCTGTGATACGGATCCCTGCCATCATTGCAATCCCTGCTGAAAGACCTTATGGGGAGGAGACTATGCGTCTATGCAATATTAATTTGTCGTTTGTGGTTGATTACTCCTCGGGAACTTTTAAATATGCATCAACAAGGATTTGGCTCCATATCTACTTTATTCGCTTATGCCTTTTTTCACTAATTTACTATTGTGGAGTACTTCTACATGGTGTTTAGATAGCATTTGATACTCTAAGGGTAATGATTATAGAGCTTGAAAATATGCTGAACTTGCGTAATTCTGTCAATATTCCATGTTCGAGAGGGAGATGTTTTGTGTAACAATCGTTTCAAACATTCAAACGGAACTGCTCTACTTCCAAAGATGAGTTGTAAACCCTCCAGGTTCCTAATTTCACATAAAAGTCATAATGACTTTCCTCAAGAAGACACAGGAGAAGTGAACACTTTCATTTATCTGGAGTTGTTTGTTTAGAGGAAACAGTTCTTGCGAAGTGTAATGCGATGAACACCTCACTATGGACTTCGAAATGTGTAACTAGCAATAAGATCTGCGATGCCTACATTCATAAGTTGCGTGTGGCCATAATTCAGAAATTGAGATGGATGTTTGTTTAGACAAGGGAGGGTAAATGAGAGATATCAGGATCTTGTGATGGTAAGATAGCACCAGTTGGGAGTAAGAGAAGAATAGTATTCAAGATGCTTTGACCATAAGCAGAGTAGAACAGTGGCTGACTAGTGAGACCACATGGTAGAATGTGATTCAAGGGTAATAGATATACTATAACTATAGATTGGGCGTAATGGGGAAACATGTGCTGGACAGATAATTACATACTTGGGAAAACCCTAGGATACGGGTTCGTGGAGCAATAGCTGTAGCAAGAGTGCCAGAGGCCGAGTGGCAAACTTTAGAAAAACCTATAGTGCAAAGCTTCTCTGGAGTTTTTGTCTACGTATATATATATATATAATACTAGGTTGTCCTTATAATGATAAGAGTCTCCGGAGCTTTTGTCTTTGTTTTTGTTTATAAATATACATATCTATAAAAATATTATTAGCTTTTCATCACAGTGACAGGATAAGTGTGATTTAATTAACAATACTAACACAAACACTAGTATATACCTAGCAATCCTACAATTTGTTAATTTTTAAAGTCACACATCTCGTAATTGGCTGCCCAAAAGCAAGTTGATTTTGGGCATCCGGATTGGATTGGAAAAGTCATAGTAACACAGGTTTACAAGAAGTTTTTTGCCACCACAGTTCTCCATTGTGTCTTGTCCTTTCAGAAAGAACTAAACGAATTTCCTACTAATAATGCTCTTATAATTCCCTTTATCAGTGTTACTGAAGCGAATAAAACTAAATAACCTCCAAAATTATGGAATGTAACAATGTTTACTGATTGTTGTAATGGTGGTTCTTAGTGAATGAGGTTGAAGGTCTCTTTGTCAGAAACAACAAACTAACAGTTTGGGAAAACAGTAACATTTGCAAACAGGATCAACCTGGCTCCCAGTGGGAGTTACTTCCTGGAACTTGTTTGGTTGAGTTTTACACTAGTAAGAGCAAATTATTTCTGATATGATCAGATGTGGGTTTTGTTATGTTTAGCTTCCTTTTAGGTATTGTATTTTACCTAAGCCTATTATTGTTGTCATTCAACACAGTTGCTTTATAATGGATTCTACGGCTGTCCACTAACGCAAATTCCTAGTTTCACATGAGTGTATTAATAAATCCCTTCAGAAAATTAATACGTCTTAAATTGTTTATTTTTTTCTTTATATTTTGTAGTTATGCAGTTACCTAAGTTGTCTTGAATGATCTAACTGGTGCAGGGAAGCTTATCTGGGCAGAGACAAGGCCAGCCTGTTTTTATCACCAGACTAGAGGTATGTTTCTACACACCAGATAAGCTATGTTGCAATTAAGAAAGTTTTATTTTCCACTTATTTTAACAAATGGTTCATTACAAAATAATGGTTATTCTTGAATTTCCATTTCATCTCTTCACATTTAATATGGCATAATATGACAAGATTCTCCTACCTAGTTAATTTTAGTGTAACCTCGTTACACATTTATCTCCTTTTACATAAGCATTTACCAATAATTTCATTTCACCGATTGCATAAACCTTATTTTCAATTATAATTGCTGCAGGGTTACAGGAGTGCATCAGCGTCCGAGACGTAAGCCTATGTAGTGTACTGACATTTGATAAGTTGATTTTAAGCTTCATCAACTGACCTTGTGCTATTACTTGGAATCTACTTTTCTTTCTGTAATACATGTCAAGTAGGTGTACTTTATTAATAGAAATAAATTGATTTTAACTGCAACCTGATTAGAGGCAAAAACTGGTGATTTGTGAGAGGCCTTCAAATCCAGTTGAAGTTCTGACCATCTGTCAGAGAAAAGATCTTGTAGGATTTCCAAGAAATTCTTTACTTTCTTTCGAAAACAGATGATTAATCATCTGCCTCTCATGTTCTGGGACATTGAGGAATATTCAGAAAAGCATTTTGGGAATCAGTCTTATTTTATCTCTGTAGACTGTTGGTTCCGTCTGAAGAAAGGAAGGATCCCAAAGAATCGATCTTTCTTTTAGCTGTTGAATATCTCTTTGATTGATTAATGGGTGATAGTCTGAATTCTCATTACTAAAGGAATCCAAATGATCTCTGGATTGATCAAAAGATCATTTCAATTGGCTAGAATCCATTACTTGAACAACACTAGATCTTGTAGAATCATATTGAATATTTTTGTATGCATGGCTCTCTTCTTGTTCAGTTTTGAACAAAATTTTCCCTTTATTCATGATGTAGCATTCATTCACAATTTTAGTATGCTCAGATATGCCGAATGCAATTTTAGGGCATATCAGTGTTATTAGAAAATCATTTGTCCTCTTAAAACTTATTTTTTAAACAAGCTTGCAGTGGCCATGAAAATAGGAACTCCTAATATTTCTTGGGTGTAAGAGTTTCCAGTGAGTAATGACATTTTTTTGTCCTCCTGTAATCATTTATCTTGCTCCCTTTATTGCTAGTGCTTGCTACAAGTCCTATTTGGATGATTTGTTCCAGCTGTATGACCTTTTCTTTTTCCCCATTTACTCAGGCTTGCAGCAAATTGGCCACCAACAATGCAAATAGTTCGGCTTATATCTCAGGACCACATGAACAACAAGTAATCTCTGTTAAATAGAAACTATCATTATGTTCAACCCTAATTATACATGCTCTGAGTTGGTTACCATACATATTGCATTTCCTTTATTTTATACCAGGCAATATGTTGGAAAGGCAGATTTTCTAGTTTTTCGGGCGATGAATCAACATGGTTTTCTTGGACAACTGCAAGAAAAAAAACTTGTAAGTGGTCTAAGGTCTGACCTTTTTTTCCCCTCATCTGTATTTATCGAACGCCAACACTATGCAAAGGAATGGTAGAAGTCATGTAGAATTAAGGTAAGTCATTTAGTTTGTTAACCCTCCCCCTTTTTCTTCTCTTTGGCGTGAAGGTGATTTACTTCACTATAGCCTAGCCGAAGGCAGGATATGAAACCAGGTCTTTGTTATAGCTATCAGATAGGATAGATGACAACTTCACCAGTCATATATCTTCATATGCTGTCTCTGTTATGGCTATAAGATACGATAGATGACAACTTCACCAGTCATATATCATCATATGCTTTGGGGAACATTTGTATTAGTTTTTCTCAGTTCAATGTTATGGCGTCAATTCAACATGATTTTCTGATTTTAACATTGTCAATAAAAATCTAGTGTGCAGTGATTCAGTTGCCATCACAAACACTGCTGCTATCTGTGTCTGATAAAGCCTACCGCTTGATTGGAATGCTTTTTCCTGGGGTATGATTTGTTCATAATGCCAACTTCTACTACCAAGTCAAATTCTCTGCATTCCTTTTATAAATCTTATATTTGAATGTGTTCTCTGTAATTGAAAATTTGGTTTACAATTACTCTTTTCTGCATTTTAGGATATGGTCGTTTTCAAGCCACAGATATCTAGTCAGCAGCAACAACAGCAGCAGCATCCACAGCTACAACAGCAACAACTTACACAGCTTCAGCAGCAGCAACCCCTTACGCAGCTACAGCAGCAACAGCCTCTTCCGCAGCAGCTACAGCAGCAGCAATCGCTACAACAGCTGCAACAACAGCAGCAGATTTCGCAGATGCAGCAACAGCAGCAGATTTCGCAGATGCAGCAACAAACACCACAGCAGCAGCAACAAATGGTTGGGACGGGAATGGGTCAATCTTATGTTCAGGGTCCTGGCCGATCACAGTTAGTGTCGCAGGGACTAGTTTCGTCACAAGGGCCAGCAAGCATGGCAGGAGGGGGCTTTTCGAATTGATTAAGTCATTGATTGGAAAGGCATGTAACTATTTATAACAAGTACCCATGTGAAGAATCTGTATATTGGCAAAACATGACTTGATTGTCAAATATTCTCATTATATGCTTTGGAATTTAATGTTTTGAAAGTCTTTATTGTTTTGGTTTATACGATTTAATTGATAACTCAGAGCATAAAAGGTAGTCGTTTTTACACCCTTTCTCACCTTCAAATGCTTGCAATTCTGTGTCCTTGGGGCTTTTTTTTAGGATTTGCTCATTCTATCAGTTTTATTTGTCAAGCCATTCATGCTAGCATGAAACATTTTGTCCTTGAAGCATGTTGCCCTCAGCGTCTTCTTTGTTAGTTAGTAGGGTTCGTCTGCAATATTGAATTTTGCTTTTTGGTACGGTACCGACATTCAATTTGGGCCGTTGATGTAATTTTTCTCCTTTTCTAGCCGTTGATTAGTTGAAAAGGTGGGATACCGGTCACTTGTTAATTCGGTAATGGAAAAGGAGTAGGATTTAACAAATAACCTCGTACCAAAAAGTTTGTAACATATCTCAAAAATGTGGTAAATTAACTTTTAAAAGTGTAACTCCCACATAAGTTGGAATCCACCTTAAAATGTTATAACTCAATTCATTAAAATTAAAACCTGACCCAAAAAGTATAAACTAATTCAAAAAAAGTATAATTCAATTCAAAAAAATTGAAACCTCAGCTTAAAAATTATAAACTAATCCATGAAAGTTGAAACTCCCAAAAAATATAATCTAATCCTAAAAAGTTAAATTTAACCCAAAAAAATTATAATCTAATCCAAAATAGTTAAAATCTCACCTCAAAAGTTGAAACCCCTCACCCAACTGTTAGAACACATTCCAAACAATTATTACTTAATTTAAAAAAGTAATATTCCTATCCAAAAAGTTGAAACCCCTCCCCAAATGTTAGAACTCAATTCAAAAAAGTTGAAACCTCAGCCTAAAAATTATAAACTAATCCATAAAAGTTGAAACTCTAAAAAAATATAATCAAATTCTAAAAAGTTAAATCTAACCCCAAAAAGTTATAATCCAATCTAAAATAGTTAAAATCTCATCATAAAAGTTAGAATTCCTCTCCTAACCGTTAGAGCTCATCCCAAAAAATTACAACTCAATTCAAAAAAGTTGAAACCTCAGCCCAAAATATATAAACTAATACATAAAAGTTGAAATTATATCTTCAAAAAGTTAGAACCACCCCAAAAAAATTATACCCCTACCCAAAAAAGTTGGAACCCCTCCCCCAACCATTAGAATCCACCCTAAAAAATTATAACTCAATTCAAAAAAGTTGAAACATCAACCAAAAAGTATAAACTAATGCATAAAAATTGAAACCCTATTCCCAAAAAATTAGAACCCACCCCAAAAAATATAATCTAATCCTAAAAAGTTAAATCTAATCCAAAAGCTTATAACTTAATCCAAAGTAGTTGAAATCTCACAAAAAAAGTTGGAACCCATTCCCCAACAGTTAGAACTTAACCAAAAAATTATAATTCAATTTAAAAAAGTTAAGTCTCACCCCAAAAAGCTTATAACTCAATCCAAAAAATTTATACCCCTACTTGAAGAGTTGGAACCCTTTCCCCTCCCCCAATAGTTAGAACACATCCCCAAAAAGTTATAACTCAATTCAAAAAAGTTGAAACCTAAGTCCAAAAATTATAAACTAATGCATAAAAGTTGAAACTCTATCCCTCAAAAAGTTAGAACACACTCCAAAAAGTTGAACTCTATCCCCAAATAGTTAGAACCCACCCAAAAAAAAATATAGTCTATTCCTAAAATGTTAAATCTAACCCCAAAAGTAATAACCCAACAAAAATAATTGAAATCTCACCAAAAAAGTTGGAACCCTCCCCCAACAGTTAGAACCCACCCAAAAAAAATTATAACTCAATTCAAAAAAGTTGATAAGTCAGCCAAATATATAAACTAATGCCTAAAAATTGAAGCTTTATCCCCTTAAAAGTTAGAACCCAATCCAAAAAATATAATCCAATCTTAAAAAGCTAAATCTAACCCCAAAAGTTATAATCCAACCCAAATAGTTGAAATTTTACCAAAAAATTATAATTTAGCTAATCTGAGTCACCCAAAAAATTGAAATCCAATCCAAAAAAATTATACCCCTAGTTGGAACCTTTCCCCAACAGTTAAAACTCACCCTAAAAAATTATAACTCAATTAAAAAAATTAAAACATGAGCCAAAAATATAACCCACCCAAAAAATAGTTGGAAGCATTATTTACAATTCTTTTAATTCTTTGATTTTATTAGTTATTTATTTGTTGTTAATAAACAATGGGACTATTTAAAAAATATTAAATATTTTTGGACTACATTAGATTTTTTTTGATTATTTAAGGGATAAAAGTGTGATAGTTAAGGGATAAAAGAGATAAAAGTGTGATATTAACCCCCGATCGGTCTTGCATTTCTTCGGCCGGCCATAATTCTTCTACATATAAATTACACTTACACCCTCACAAATTATAATATTTTATTTTTTATTTTCTAATGAATATTATGGTCCACAAATCACAAAAATCTTATCTTCTCCTTCCCCCAACTTTCCCACCCAAACGACTGGTTACTAGTCTTGCCTTCCTTCCATCTCTTTCACCCTACAAAAAGTATTTATTCGTTTGGTTTAGATTTTGTTGAGTCTTTGAGGATGAAGTAGTATGAAACTCTATTCATTGCTTACTTTTTTTTTCGACATTGTCTTTGATAATCCTCCATTACGTACCTTTGTACTGGTGATCCAAGTCTTGTTAGACTCATTCAGCTAATGATATAATGTAAGTGAATATTTTTTTTAGTTAATAGCATAATTTATATGGTGAAGCCATTTTTGTGGTTAATGGTTTATATTATGTTTAGGGTGAAGAAGAGGTTAAATGACTCGAAACATGAAGCTGGAGCTATTAAGTCATCTCGCTCAATAATCTACTGGTTATTTTATTAATGAGGGATTTTCTTTAATCTAAATGTTAAACTATTTGTCTTGATCTTATTTTTTATTCAAATGATCTTATTGATGCTTGTTTTCACTATAACAAGGATTGTTTGAAGACAATCAAAGGGAAGGAAATAAAAAAATTGGATCATGGGGTATAAATGATATTATGTTGATCTTATTTTTTATTCCAATGATCTTATTAATGTTTATTTCCACTATATTAGCTTAAGTTATCTCGTGATTGAAGTTCTTAACCATTTCAAAATGGTGGCCCTGCAACAAAAATACGGATTGCTAGGATCTTTAATACTTATGGACCCCGCATGAATATCGATGATGGACGCGTTGTCAGCAATTTCATAGCTCAAGCCATTTGGTAACTTCTATTGCCACACCCACTCTGCTAGGTTTCTGCAGATTCATTCAATTGTTCGATTTCTTTATTTGCACTCTCCTTGTAGATTTATTCAATTGTTTGACTTTTCATGTACATAATCTTAGCATGCTGCTTTGTATACACCAGCACCATCCATTACTTGAGCATGAGATAAACAGTTGACAGTTGTAATTAAATTTTTAATTGTCTCTATTTGTTCTTGTCGATTCATGCAGGGATGAACCATTGACTGTTCAGTTGCCTGAAACACAAACTCGGAGTTTTTGTTATGTCTCTGGCATGGTATGAAGAGCATTGTGTATTTGGCCTTTCAAATTGAATCTCAAGTGTGTTCAGAATTCTATGTTGCCTTACTCTTCTTTACATATGTTGAAGGTTGATGGTTTGATCCGATTTATGGAAGGAGATAATATTGGGCCAATCAATATTGTGAACCCAAGTTATTTTGATTGACTTGAATGCACAATAATATTTAGGATTGGGTTGTAAGCTTTTGGATGAAGTTTAACTTTTTAGAATTGGATTATATTTTTTTGGGGTGGGTTTTACTTTTTGGGAATAGAGTTTCAACTTTTATATATTAGTTTATATTTTTTGGTTGAGGTTTCAACTTTTTTGAATTGAATTATAATTTTTTGGGGTGAATTCTAACGGTTGGGGGAGGGGTTCCAACTTTTTTTGATAGAGGTATAACTTTTTTGGGGATATAGTTTCAACCTTTATGCATTAGTTTATACTTTTTGGGCTTGTGTTTCAATTTTTTTTAATTGAGCTATAACTTTTTAGAAGTGGGTTCTAACTATTGGGGGGAAGGGGAGGGG